TAAGCAGTCTGAACTGTAAGAAAATGCCTCAGCAGAGTCTATAGCAGTGGTTCTGACCGAGCAAGGGGCAACTCCACGCAACAAGACCTTGTAGTGGGACACAACAACAATGTAGTCAAGGGAGAATGACTGCCGTAAGACTGGTGTCTTGTGTGTCACTGTGGTAACATGCCAGAGTGACATATAGGCAGTAAAAACTTTCAGGAGAACAAGTACTTGGATAGATGGGTATACTTGGACATAAAACGAGATCTGTAGAGAAATAACTGTCTCTAATGAGTGCATCAGCAATGAAGTAGCAGGGCGATGCAAAACAGATCACATCTGTTTGACAGACAGACATCTGAATAGGCAAAGGGGAAAAGCAGAGGTCGCATTCAAGATTTAACTCCAGATGAGAATCCATCATCGTTCACTCACTCAAAAGGCAGACACAGTGTAAACACCAACATTAGGGGACAGGTTAAATAAATCGTGAGGTACATTGAGCACAAATACCTATGTTAAAGATGATCAGCATAGAAAACACACCGCAGTGGAAACAGCAGGTTGTGAAGGAAAACTGCAGATGGTACTGAAGGCAATGTGAAAATATGCAGAGATAAGGGCTTCCGAGGCTCTTTTTTTTGTGTAACTATCTGATTTATTTTATTTTCAGAGATTATAAAATAATAACATCATCTCACTTCCCTATCCTTCCTCCACGCCCTCCTTACTGAATTTCTTAACATGATTACCTGATTACATAGATTATTGGCTCTTTTCTGTTTTCTATATTGCCCAAAGTAGACTTTTATTTTGAAAGCATCTATAATAAGCATATAGAACATGTTTATTACAAAAAGCAATAAGTGCTCTCAATGTTTTAAAGTGAGTTTTCATTGACTTTATCAATGTCCAGTGTCCAGTCTAGGGATGCTCCTGGAAATCAAGTTTATATACCTTCATGGACTGAATTTGATAGCTCTCAAATCATTGAGTATAAATGTATTTAAATGCATTTCCCAAACAGTAGAAAAAGCACTGAGAAATTCAGACTCAGAGTTCTCTTCTCAAAGGGCTTTTCATTCAAATAGAGGAACAGATATAAATGCCAAAGCAACAAGCAATCTGATTAGCATGGCAACAGAAGTGTGAAGAAAACTTTGTTGAGAGCATCAAAAAAGCTGTTCATGCTCTCACCTCAGGCTCACGAAGCATAGCAGAAGACGTGGAAAGACTGTAGGAGCCAAGAATGAGGGCATTTCCTATGAGACTGTGTTGCTAGGAATACTAGAAGCTACACCCATGTCACACCAACATGACTGTCTGAATAGGAGCTGAACAAGGAGGACACCAATAGATGATCTAACATGGATTGGGAAAGTTGAAGAGGCCTACACAACCCTACACAAAGAAACAGAGGAAGCTAAGGAGTTCTGAGAGCAGAAGAAATAGTCTTTCCTGGGGAAGAACATACCAATCCAAGACCAAATGGTCAGCCCTGAAAACATACATACAGGTAACATATAGCCTGAGCAAGGTACACTTATGTATTCAGAAATATATATACATATATACACACACACTCAAGCATGCAACAACAATTAATGGAAAAAGAGGGCATGGATTTGCTAAAGAGCAAGAAGGGAAATATGGGAGGCTTTCAAGGGAGGAAGGGAAGGAGAAATGAAGTAATTGCACTATAATCTCTAAAACTAAAAGACTAATTTAAAGGAAAAAAGTGGCTTGGATTTTCCCAGGCAACCAGAGCGCAGCTTTGGACAGGGAACAGCCCGACTTGTAAGGATGTGACAGGCTTGCCAGGTCATAAAATAACAGGAGGTACAAGGCCTGTGCTGTGACCTTAAGATAAATTCAGGGAATTTCAAACGAACTAAGCAGAGAAGAGAGTGTGTTCCGGGATGGAGGGAAAGGTGAGCAAAGGGGAGGAGACCCAGTGGACACTGTGTTAAGCTGTAATGGCTGACTCAAGGGGAGGAAGATCCAGAGGGTGAAGGGGGAGGGGGGGGAGGAGAGAGAGGAAAAGAGAAGAGACTGAGATGGGAGATCATTTCAAAGGGGTTGGGAGATTTTTAAAATTTTTGTTGGTTTTGCTTTTGTTTGGGGCTGGGCTGAAGCCTTCCTGGAGAAATAGAAACCACAGAAAAATGGCAAGAGCTATTTTGAAGTTTAGCATTTAAGGAAACTGTTATGCTCAGATCTCAGGGACCCCCAAAAGACCACCACAGAGACTGAATCCCGCATGTGAAAGCAAAGAGACTTTATTTCAAGCTCCCTCTGTCTGTCTAACACACGGTGAGAGCAGAGAGCCCTGAGCTCAGGTGGGGCAGAGTTTTTATCAAAGCAGAGGTTGGGGTGAGGGGATTTCCAGGGTTCAGGACCCTGATTGGCTGACAATTGTCTAGGGGTATCTGTAAAACAAAAATAGGTGTGTGGTAGACTCAGGGAGATCTGGCCATCTTATCTACTGGTTGGAATGTTTGGGACATCAGGCACTTCCTCATCCCTGGGTGGATCCCCCTGGGTGTTGTCAGCTTAAGGCTTTTCTTGGATCTGGGTGTTGCCTGCCAGTAAGCCTGTCACAGAAGCTGTGTCTAGGCCCCTAAGCCTGTCATGGCTGCTGTGTGGTCAAGCTGTTTTGAGGCCCCTCCACAGAAATGGGTAGGTAACTGAAATTATAGAATGGTATGAAAACAACAGAGGATAAACGGGAGAATCACTGACATCCAACGGGCAGAGGTTTTTGTTTTAATTTTATATATGACCTTGGCTATTATATTCCTCATACATCGGCTGTTGATCATTCTACATAAGACAGCCACTACACTCAAGGAACACGTGAAAATATTGCAATACTCAGGAAAAAAAGTCTAGGATGGTTAAATAAATCGGACAGTTGTCAGAGTACAAGTAGTGGGTAAATCAATTAATAGGGTGAAGATACCATTTCTTGAAAGCTGTCTGTCCCAGACACTTAACTTACATGGCTGTACTTGATTCCCAGAACAACCCATAAAACGCTGTCGCTGCAGAAAGCTTGAGATAGATAAAGACCGGGATGCAGATGTATGGAGCAAAATAGTACAAGACGAAGGCAGAGGGCTAAGGTGTGAAGGGGCGCGAAGAGGCACCCGGGAGGTGGAAGTTAAAACCACAGTAAAGGCGAGGACCATGGAATGAGAAGAGAGGGTTAGGAGAAGAAACTTTCAAGGCCAGAGAGTTAACAGTGAAGTCAGGGGTTGGAGAAAGACTGGGAGGCAAGGTCAGGACAGAGGAAGTGGAACTCACTTTTGTTTCAAAGAAATGTGGAAAGGACTGTGTAGGGGATGGGGGCCCACACCTGTAATTCCTGTACTAGGGAGGTCTGGAGAACCAGCGCAAGTTCAAGGCCAGCCTGGACCATACACAGGGATCCTGTCTCAACAAAGCGAACTATAAGCAAGTAACTGAGTAAACGAATGAACCACCACCAACAACAAAAGAAGTAAAAAGGCTGGAGAGTAGTCTGGAAGACAGTGATTCCACAGGCAACCCCCCCCCCCCAGGGGTGTAGCTAGGCAACAGGAAATTTAGGTAATTTTAGAGAATGAAAGAATGCTGAGGTATTTCAGAGCTTAATGGTGTCTATTAGCGCCTCATTTGCTTTTAATAAGAAGAGCAGAGATGGTCTGTGACCTTAATAGGGAAAAAGAGATGCCTTATTTGTTCTCAATCTTCATCTAGTTTCAAGGATTAATACTATTAATTTAAATAGACGGCAACCCAGTTCGACACACACAGAGACCCCCATCATTCATAAGAAGGTTTAAAAATCTTCTTTAGAGAAAGCATGTCATTTACATCCAGTAATAAGTTCTTAAGATATTTAATAAGCATTGCAAACTGTGTTTTAATCTACGGGTTAAATTCAAGCAGCACAGGCTAGAATTTGTTTTGTTCCAGAATACTGAAGAAAAATCTTCTGAGGCAAATAATGTGTTGAGTTTCAAAGGATATTAGGGATGAGGAGAGGAACGGAGACATAACATAATGTGTCAAGGGCAATAAAATAGTACAAACAAAATCATCAACGAGAAAAAACTAACGAGGCTCAGCAATAGTTTTTATGTGTTAGAAATGACATGCATATTCATTGTATGTAATAAAATGGATTGTTGGAGATGCTCAATAGATTAAAAAAATGCCTAAGCATACACATTGATGTGCATATTTACACACACACATGTCCTGTTTGTAGCCTGGACTGAAATATTCCAGCCCGATATTTAAACCAAAATAAAGCTATCTGAAGTCAACATAAAATAAATATACCAACCCTTTTTAAATGATATTTTACTGGACTTAAAATGACCAGAGAAAATTATTTTTTCTGCAGACCAAAGAGGCATCTTGTCCATATATAGGAAAAATTACAGCCTGAAACACTCACCGTCAAGGACAGGATTCACAATGAGACTGGTGCTCATGAATTTAATTAGCATAAGTGGGTGAATGTTTAAGTACAATATCTTTTGGTTATTAGTCAGTGGGGTTCAATTCAGCTAACTTGAGTGTTGGGAAGCTCTGCTCTGGCCCCACACCTCTCATTCCAGACCCTGCCTCTCAGAAAGCCTGCCCAGGCTCAGCTCCTCCCCCTGAGATGCTCAAGACCACACCTACAGGGTATTTAAGACATGGTCTTTAGACCTGCCATGTGATGTCTCTCCTGCTTTCTTTCCCCAAGAATCACCCAGGGGTGCTTTGCTCCTTAAACCTGGACTTTGAAATCGGCCTGATCTGATTTATTGCATTGGCGGAAAAACTCAATACTGGGATTGGGAAACCTTTCAGTGAGAGTCAAGAGTGTTACTTGGTGTGCCCATACGCTGTGCGGGTTGATAGCCCAAGAAAATGCTCATGGGCCTCAAAAATTATTTCATAGTACAACATTCAACAACTATCTCTGAGGAGTAGAAATTCTGCTTGGCCAGCAAGGCAGCTAGGTAGTGAGAACATACCTCCTGTCTGGTTGGTGGGCCATGTGGCCAAGGTCCTCTGGACAATCCTGTAACATGGGCTGGAGTTCTTCCTGGGGCGAAGGGGTGAGCGTGGCTGTGGACTGATGGCTGTAGGACACAGCAGCTGGAGAAGAAGCTGCCCCCCGAACAGGGGGGGTGGGGCCTCTTTCATCTTCCTCCTCTTCTAACTCATCCTGCTGTAGATACATCCTTGCGGGCGGCACAGGACACGGCATTTCTTGGTCATAGCTACAACAAAGTGTAAGAGCGTACAGTAAGCTATTTGTATTAGAGAGTGCTGGCGCTCAATGGCTTTCAGATCTGTAGGTCTGGGTCTCATTAAAGCCTCCTTGTTAGGAAACAGCTCACTGTTAGAAGTTATCAGGACATACAGTGGCATAGTATAGGGGCGGCGGGGAGTCTTACAATAGGAAATAGTTTTGCATAGTATGTCTCCAACATACTTGGGGCATTTGGGCTTTGTCATTCATAAGTTCTTTAGACAAAGATTTAAAATGTACTGCAAATTGTTGTCATTTGTTTTTTTACTCTTTTTTGGGGGCCCGCCACCGTGCTCCTAAATAAATCACACACACACACACACACACACACACAGGCTTATTCTTACTTATGAATGCCCGGCCTTAGCTTGGCTTAATTTCTAGCCAGCTTCTCTTTAGATTCTCCTGTCTACCTTTCGCCTCTGGACTTTTCCTTTTTCTATGCCTGTAAACCTTTCTTTGTTTCTTACTCCATGGCTTGCTGGGTACCTGGGTGGCTGGCCCTTGCCGTCCTCCTTCTTCCCTGGCTCCTTGCTCTCCCCTCCCAGATTTCTCCCTCTATTTATTCTCTCTGCCTGCCAGCCCTGCCTATCCTTTCTCTTGACTCACTCTTGGCCATTCAGCTTTTTATTAGACCATCAGGTGTTTTAGACAGGCACAGTAACGCAGCTTCACGGAGTTAAACAAATGCAACATAAACAAAAGTAACACACCTTAAAATAATATTCCACAACAGCAACTAGCCCAAGGTGATGTTCTAAACTGGGAGAAACCCTTTCAAAGGGACGCAAGTTATTTAGTCCAGCACCACCCATGTTTCCTCTGACACTACAATGAAGAAGTATTGCTTCTTTAGTTGAATACAAGGCGGCTGGTTTGTAATTAGGATGTTGAGTGTAAAACACAGTGGCCTTGGCCAATCAAATAAAAGCCTTTTCCTCCAAGATAGAGTTGCAATGGGCATCAGGATGCAGACAGGGAAAGCAAGCTCTCTTTGGGGCATGTTCACTCCCTTCAAAGGCAGAGACAGACTATACTGTATAAATTGCATACTTTTTTTCTTATTCTCTCTCTCCCTTTATTTTTTTTTTTCTTCTTCTATTTCAGAGAGATACCGGGTCTTGCTTTATAATCCAGGCTAGCCTCCGTCTCCCAATCTGGCGGCAGCCTCCTGACCACCGGGATTACAGGCATGCATCGCCGCAGCTGCTTTTCTTAGCCCTCTCTTCACCCACATTCTACCACCCGTTTGGCTTCCCTCAGTCAGAAGAGTTGATGTTCCAATACTGTGGTCGTTTTGCGTATTCTTTTACTTTTCTAATTCGAATAAGACAGCCTTTGTCTCTTCCGTCTACGTCTCCTTTGTTCTCAAGAAGCACAGTAATTTGCTCTCGTGTCTGAACAGCTTACAGAGTCGTATCCTTCCCATTTTCTCTCTTCTGCATCAAACCATTCCCCAGCTCATCTCTGTCCTCTCTGTAAAAACTCCAGAGTCTAGTTCTTTGTGTGTGTGGTATGGGGGCACTGTTGTATTTGCCGGCGGCGAGAAGGGACCACAAAGTACAATAAAACCCACTTTAAGTGTTTATTTCTGGGTGTGAAGACACAAGGGGTTCTTGGAGGCAGCCTCCGGAAAGGGGGTGGCAGAGAGAGAGAGAGCAGAGGGCAGGCAGAGTCTGCTTTTAATGGTAGCCCAGTGCATGCGTATAGGGGCTTTCACAGCCACAACAGGAAGGCGCATAGATGAAGCCAGGCTGCGCATGCGCTTACCTAAGACGTATGTACTACGTGAGACCCTAGGGCGACTAAGCATTTTGCCTGACCACTGACTGCTCACACGCAGCCCTGGGACCCGGAAGTGGTTAGAGGATGCTGGAAATGCTAACAGCCACTGCCTTAACTTTTCAATTCATCTCTCTGCTTCTGATCACTCCTTTTTTTTCAGTATCCTCAAGTTGCTCCAAATTTGCAAAATTAATTGTACACCACTCACAGATCACTCATGTTACTCCAAAGCAAAGAACTATTCTTTAATTGCTTAAACAATAAAAAGTAAAAATGCCCAGGCAAAGGCAAGATACTCAAGGATCTGCCGATCTGGTTAACATCTGCCTTCTCAGCTTCCTCTCTCCCTTCCATGTGTTTCCTGTTAGCTCTCTAGGAGTCCACATCTCTGTGTGGTCCCAGTGTCCATAAACCCCGTTCTTTATTCAGAACCTTCTCATGTGTCAAGGTTAAGAACAACTGCCATTTGATCAGGACGCCTTCCTTCTTCCCATTCAAAACCATCCTCTTTGGGGTGCCATGACAACGTTTAAAGGTTTTGTTTTATTTTTTCTTTCTTTATATAAACTTCATGTTAAGTGTGTGTGTGTGTGTGTGTGTGTGTGTGTGTGTGTGTGTGTGTGTGTATACTAACTATTACATTAAAATAGCTGGGACAACAAACTTTTAAAAACAACAGCTGAACGGATCTTTGTTACGTGCACATTCCGTGCTCGAGAATTTACTGACTCAGTAAAATTTATATGCAACCACAAAATCGGCCTTGGTGAAATTTTCATGGTCATTCTCACATCTGCACAGAGGGCCCAAATCAAGCCACCTGCTGCATATGTTCCCAGTTGAGGTTAATTATATATATATATATATATATATATATATATATATATATATATATATATATATACACACACACCTGTTTTCAGGAGTTCATGTTTATACCCTACATAGTCACCCCCCTAACAGTTTTCATAGTTCCGAGCTCTTTCTTAATTTCTTTCGCTTCTTTTGATTTTTGCATAATATTGGTGATTTCCCTGTTTATTGTGATATGCAATGGAGGTGCCCAAGTACCACTGAACTAAGGCAGGTAGAGATGGGCATCATGTCCCTTAGAGGTGAATATGCTCAGAAATGATCTAGTACTGTTGGCTGTGAGCATCACGTTAGGGAGGAAGAACAGATGTTTACTGAAATATTTTAAACAAAATGCCCATAAAGTAAGAGGATGCACTGACAAAAATCAGTGAGGTAGAGGCTCTTGGGAGTTCCTTCCTACTTCCCTCTAGGTGTTCATATTCAGAAACTGAGCATTACCAGCACACTAGTTATACATAATGAGAATTGTCTATAAACATTTTCTGTATAAGAACCTCATTTAAATACACTTTAAATATTATTAGAAAAGAGGAAAATGGGGCAGAGCTGGAACCGTTAAAGCCTTTCTTGGTGGAGAATAAATTGATCAAGCCTTATTTCTGTTATTTCTAGTCACTGAAAAGACTATATTTTCAGGTAGATTACACTTTCTGGCTGTTTATTCTCGGTTAGGTAGGTTCTCCTTTGATGCCAACGGTGAGGCAGTTTTTATTTTGTCTGGTGTACCATGTCCAGTGACAGATTCTGGAAAATGAAAACAGCATACTTGCTTCCTAAATTTTACCATGTGGTTTATTTATACTCATTAAATGCTTTGAGAATCGGTTCTGCAAAATTGAAACTTCTAAGTAAACCATTTGTAGCACAGTATAGTATTATCTAAGAGTGTTTTGCAGTATACTCTGAGTTGTATAGATCGATGCAGTTGTTTTAGGAAAATTTAACACGTGACAAGGACATTCTAACCCTGTCAGGCATTGCTTCATGGCAGGGATGTGCTTTGAGAAATCCATTGTTAGAAAACTTCGTCATGGCATGAACATCACAGAATACACTTTCACAAACCTGGACATGAACCTACAGTCCACTTCTCAGCTGTGCATCCTGCTGTACTTAATACAGACGATAACAGAACACTTTGCAAAGTATTTGTGTTTCCAGAGACACTGACAATAGAAAATGTACAACGGCCATTTTACAGTGTGGTGCACTCCTTTAATCCCAGCACAAGAAGGGACAGGGGTCAGGGGTCGGGGGGAAGGGGCAGGGGCAGAGGCCAAGGCAGGAGGGTCTCTGTGAGTTCAAGGCCAGCCTGGTCTACAGAGAGAGTTTCAGGATGGCCAGGGCTACACAGAGAAACCCTGTCTTGAACATGCCCCCCCCCCCCACAAAGGTATTATGAAAACACTGTTGGACAGGGATTTTTCTGTTCCATGAAATCTTATGAAATTAACATCACATACTGTTTTGACATTGACTTCAGTGGTTCTATGAGTATATGAATTTACTTGAAATATCATGAAATCGTGTATACATGGTTATACACATAGGAACTTACATGTATACACACTATTTTTATACATGCATACATGTGTACACATATGTCAGTAGTTAGCATCTGGGCACAAGTGTGTACATATAATATGTGTGTCAAAGAAGCTTCCTAAAACCTAATTCATATTTGAGACAGCCCCAGGGGGAGCTTCTGTATGTGTGGATATAAATACGTGTGTGTATACATAATACACATATCTAACTTTCAGATCTAGGGAAGTTTCTTAAACCTTAAGTCATATTTGAGATTTCCCCGAGGAGGGCCCTTAAGTCCTTCTGCTTGATTTAGAGGCTGGTGTTTGTGAACCCGAGGAATCTCCTTTTGGCAATTCAGGTGACCCCGACTTGTCTGCTCTGACGCTCGGAGACTGCACCTCTCGCAGTGGCGACCCCCTTACCTCTCATCTACGGACAGGCTGTACTCTTCGCTGTTGCTATGTGGGGGAGGATGCGCTGGGGGAGGGGGAAGCAAGTCTGCCCAGTTCATTCCGCCCTGCTTGGGGGCCTTCGGTGTCCGTGCCCCTTTCTTGTGCCCCTGACTCCCTAGAAAAGAAACAAAATACAGGTCTTTTGTTTCTGACCCTTTACATCGCATTTTCCATTATTCAGGAGTTCAATATTTTCCGTTACTATCCTACAATTCATTACACACACAGACACAGACACGTGCACACACACACACACACACACACACGTGCACTTTTCTCCATTAAGCACAACTTGACACAAGAGAAAAAGGCCCAAAACTGCCCAGTTCAACTGCCAAGTACATAGTGAAGGAAGCAACATAAGCTTAAATGAATTTTACAAGTCATATCATTAATAGCAATCTTCCTACAGCAATTAATTGCATTATGGATTATCATCTGAAACAAATGAGCTGTGGACATATTTTCTGGAGTGCCTTTTTATTATTTAATTGCTGAATCCTAAAATACAATAAAATACAGATACGATCTATTAGTGTTCTACTGTTCCATTAAATCACTGAATACATATAATTTGTACTTGTCCACTGGAATGTTTCGGGCACAATGAAATTGCTCATTTTCTTGGGGAAGGGAGGTAGAGGTAAAATCAATTGCCAGAAGAACTAATATACTTAATGACAAAAGAAGGAGAAAAGTGCGTTTTAAGAAAGTGTTTTTTAACCACTGTTTCTATAAAATTATGGTTTATAATAATAATTAAAAGATGACGTTCCTGAATAGTTTCAGCAGATTGAAGTAGCCCAATTATTCAGTTACTGTGGTGTTTTGATTTTGGAATGGACTTGATCTTTGAACATTGGTAGCTCTATCTAAACTAATTTTTGGAGAGTTTTAAGTCAGAAGATACTGTGTGACGAAACTCTCCCACTTAACGTAGTTCAGATCCACGTGTATAACATGAACACAGAGTCTGTAATTATTTTTTTTTTCCTCAGATGAGCCCCCAATCTCACAGAATTACTTTAATTTTTCGTTATGACTCTGAAACAAGTCCGAGGGGAGATGAAGCAGGCCTTAGCTTATTCAACGAACCTTTAAAATGATTTTAAGTCCCTTGGGACTTTTCAGGCACAGGAACTGTTTGTCACGCTAGCTGTTCTTGGGCTGGTCTGTTATTGCATCAAGGGTGGGCTGAAATCAGGGCAAGCCAGCTGTTAATAATAAATGGTGGACTGTCAGCCACATGCCTGTGTGTCTCTGTGTTCTCCTACACCTTCAGTTGATTGGATTGGGAGGACTACGGGGCACGTGTTACGGAGTTAGCGTTAATCTGTGCCTCCCTCTTAATTTCCTCATACCTGTCTTCCCTAAGAACAGCATCTGCCCTAAGATGCCGATCTATGCGGCTCTCTCCTGAATTTCATTCCGGTGCGTTGCTCCCCTCCACCTATTAACAGATTTCACATCTCTAGTCCCCTGTCATCAAACCCTGCTAGAACAACCAATGATAACAAGATATCAATGATAACAATGATATCAAGATCAGGTATCTGAAGTGATAGAAGCCAACTGAAAAATCAATAACCTAGAATTATGCTCTTCCCTATACATTTTTCTCTACAAATAGCTAAGAATTCAAAGATGAAGTGGCATATAGTAATCAAATACTTAAATATTATATATGATTTCCCCCAAAACAGATACTTGACATTTTATTCACAATGTGGAGCTTAGTTACTTTGAAGAAGAGAAGGAAAAATCACGTAATACTTTGAAAAAAGGAATATTCAGTACAATCTCAGAAAAATCTAAAATAGTAAAGGATCATTTCTAAGGCCCTTAAATTCATGTAAGAACCATTTTTTTTTAGCAAGGCTAGAAAATGCCATAGCATTGTCGTGCCTTGGTTAAAGGAAGATAGGAAACTGCAAATGTGAGCATCATTACAGAAGAGGGCAGATCCGCTTGGCACAAAGACCCTAGCAACAACTTCTGCAGTTGCCAGGAGGCTCCATTCTTCCCTGTCCTGGAGAAGCATGCTCCACTTGAGATCAATCGCTCTGTTCTCATTGTGCTGTGACTTGCCACATGTTAGTTCCAGTAATGAACCGCCTTTAATTACCAAAACAGGACTTAACTGCCAGCAAACTCCCATCTGCAGCCCTATCAGGCAAACAGCTGGCAGACAGCTGCAGCCGCACAGGGACCCACAGGGAAGCCTCACTGTGGCCTCTGAGGCAGGGCAGCCTAGAGACTGGGAGGGAACTTCTTGAGCTTTCCAGAAGGAACTGGGAGATCTCGGAGAGACTGTGAAGTAAGATAGGTTCCTGCCGTCCCTCAAGCCCGGGTTATTGTTTCTCAGGCTTTCTCCTCCTAAGTGCACCAAGCGGTAACCTAGTTAGCAAATGAATCACATCTGTACTGTTTGGGGCTCTACTTTGGCTGAGGGAAGAAAAAGACGTTTAACTGCCTTGAGAGATTATTTTATACTTGTGACTTTGCTAAGCCTCAGTAACAAAGAAGGAAACACGATGCGTGGTATCTGGTGCCAAGTAGGATAGGGAGCAGTTTATTGGGCAGACAGAGCTTTAAATGGCAGACCAGACCTGTGTCTGGGACGCCTCGGATACAAAGTGATGAGACGCGTCACTTCAGTACAACAGCTAGCTCATTAATGCTCTGTTCAGTATTTCTCTTTAAGCGAAAGGCTGACATTGGCTCGTGTCTTTTTTTTTACTTACCAGACGTACTACTGCCCCGATCTGAGCTGTTGTAAGAACCTCCTGTGTTCTGGTCATAGGACTGGTTGTACGGAATGGTTGGGGGGATTGTATCATTTGCCCGATAATCTAGACATTTCAGATAGAAAAAAAAAATAATTGTTTATTTCCTCTCTGTTATTTCACGTTTGTTTGGCTTCTATTTCTGAGCAACTGAAGAAGCCAGCTGGATCGTTTCCTCGTCTGGTTTCATTTTGTTTTTCTCTTCAGATTATCAGGATAGGGGAAAAGCTTCTAGCTGAAGTGGACACATACATGTATGTGTTTTTCGATATGATAACAAGGAATGTGGGCACAGCTTTGTATGTTTCATATGCTTACGGACTTGGATTCAGCTGGATGCCCAGAATAGTATACTCGTGTACTATCTATCCCTCCCTCCCTCCCACTTCCCACCCCCCACCTCCCCTCCCCAACCCCCCCCCCCCCCAACCCCTCGTCCCCTGCGGGCAGAGAAGTAGAGGTATTGTAAACCAAGACACATGCCAAGCGCACCCAGACCGAAACCTTTGCTCATTCTCTGAGGTTGCCTCTCGGCTTAAGCACACACCAACCGTGCTTTTTAGCCTAGCTTCAAACGGTAACAGATTTAGCAGATTAGCTACATACACAACTCTTGTTACATAGTAACAACACTGAAACAAGTCAGCAACATTGTATCTGGTAAAAAACACATTCCCCGATAAGAAAACACCGGATCTCAATCCAGCCCAGAAAGACTTCTGCTTGCTTGGGCAGAGGTGACAGTGCAAACCATAAGCCTGCCACAGACAGGCACACAGGCAACCCTAATTTGTTCGTCTATTTGCATTCCTGAGTCTTTATTATATTTTCACGTACTCAATTTGACCTCAAACAGTATAAATGAGCAGGCGTCCTAAACTATTTGTACACAGGCCTTCCAGACCTTTCCAAGGCTCAGAGTAAAAGCACATAATGTGACAGAAAAATGTCACAAGAGTTTGATCCACCACAGTGAACTCCACGACTACAGAAACTGTCCTATCCTCGACAGTATTTGTCATGAACTTATGCAGGAGTCTTAATGAATTTCATTAAATTGGGTTATTATATCAATCAAGTGCTTCCTTAAACTTGGGAAAAGGTTACATGACTTTATTATGAAATTAAAATATATAGCATGGATTTAATGAAATGAAATGCTTAAATTACCCTTTGATAATTTCGAGTTGTAAGCCTCAAGAAAATAAATCCTTGTCTATAATTACTTAGAGCAAAATGCATCTTTTACCTGTGTATTTGCACAACATTGTCCCATCTATTCAAATTAGAGCAATCTTGTTTTTCCTAGAGGTACAACTTTGCAAATCATGTTGTTATGGCAGTAGCCTGAAGAAGCACAAAGAAATCAACTACCTATCTCTTTCCAACCCACACATTACAATACCGAGCCATTCCCCTCAGGCCATACAATATCATTCTGGTGCTTTAAGTTAATATTAAACTCAATTTATTTTAGGTTCTATACTGACAGACTTCAATCAGGTCAACCACAGAAATTTAGGTCCTAGAATTATACATTATAGCAGTCAGAGGGCCACATGAAGTGCTACAAGAAATTGAACCACTTCTCCAGTTCAAGTTTAATTTAATTATTTTTCTTCAGTTTGATAGAAAAATGCCATTCGTTTCTATGACCATGTAGAAGCAATTATCTTCCATCCTCAAGTGGAAAGGATGGAATAGTCTATTTATTGAGAATGTGAGGTATTGTGATGACTGTACATCTGCCTTATGAATAAAAGATTGCATGTCCTAAGCAATCCCTCACCTACTATTAAATTTAAATTAATCTCCAAACCATTTGAAAATACTTATATATTATTATAAAATCAATTTTCCAAGGTTATTGTTGTGCTAATTAACTCTTTGACACTGGAAATTTTGAAGCCAACGAGACAAGCATCCCTTCAGTCATCAAAGGGAAAATTTGGCTTGGTAGTCACGGAGCAGTTTTCAGCCAGCGCCAGGGTTAAGGGTATCACGGCAGAGAGGGGTGGGGACACATGCAAAGCCCTTTACCTTTGTTCAGCTTGTTTTGCTCCATGATGTTATACTGAATGGGTGCCACTTCCTGTTTCTGCTGACCTGGAGGCTTCCAGTGTTTCTCGCTGGAGTCCCCACCGCCGCCGCTGCCGTTGTTCATATTGTTGCTGAGGTTGGCCTGGATGAGCTGCGTAGTGGCATAGGGGGTGGGCTGCCCTGATGGATTGACAAAACGCCCGTCCTTCAGATTTGGGCTATTGAAGGTTTTCATCTCATTGATTTTGTTACTAAGGTCCACATCACCATAAACAGTTGACTCAGGGAGCATCAGATTTGTTTGTTTGTTATCCAGTTGGCTGTTATAATTTGCTATACAATCAGCTATGTGCAACGGAGAGGAAAAGGAAAAAGTCATTCTGCATGGTTATTCGTCTTAAATTGCCTTCTCTAAGAAGCTTCCCGAGTTATAATGAAATTGGTCTACAAAGTACAAGTGTACCTAAGATGAACAGAGCTTTCCAAGGAAACCAAAATTTGAGGAACTGAGAATATCCATAAGCTTTTGTGTAGGAACCAAATCATTTGGAACCTCTGTTAATGTCATGTCTGACTCACGTCAACATAGCTTTCCTTAAACAACTCCATCATAGGAATTCCACTACAACAATATATATGCACATGTGCACGGGTCAACTTCACAATTCCTCGTCTCAGGTTACTGACCTATTTGAAGCTACTAGTTAGCTATCAAAACAACAGAACTAAGCAAATAAGTTCAGGACTCAGACCAGGGGTAAATACAGTAAATACTGCACTATCAAAGACCTGATATTTCAATTTTTTATAAAATGCTTCTATTCAGAGCTAAGAGGGATAGGGAAAAGTAATAGCAAATAGTGCTCAGGAGGATTTTATTAGTTCGTGATTTAGACAAACAGGATAATCATTATCCGGGAAGGATGGTACAGAACCATTGTTCATGGTTTCATAATGACACCCCATGAAGTCTAAAATGACAATAATGATGACAAAATGAATCATGGTCACCAGGGTCTTTTAATCAAATAAAGACAGAAATAATATCTAATATTTCTAACATCTCATTTCCATGCTAATTCTACCTTCATTACGATAATTAGAAACTCAATAACATAGACATAGATGTGTTTAAAGCCTGCATTTCAAACTATTAAAACAACAGGAAGAGATAGAGTTATATTTTGAGTTAAAACATTTTAAATTGAAAAGTTACCATGAAGGAATAACATTGTTTTATTCATGTTGCTCAAAAGTGGCACCAACATTAAAAGGTTTCTTGGAGAATTAGCTTTCAATGGGACATCTTTAAAAGTGAGAAATTAACATGCTGGCTACTTACGAGGCAATCAGGAGCATAATCTTAAGAACTTGCAATTTCCCTATCCTACTGAATTCAACCACTCTGCATATCTGTTATACACCACGGAGCACGGATGTTCAGTTCATCTGGCCTGTAGTAATTCCACCTTTAATATCTAGGCATTAGGTTCTGCTTAGTAGTGAGTAAGAAATACAACAAAAGCAATATGGTTTTGGAAACCTCATCATGTTTTGGCAATCTTTCTATATGAGTTTTATGAAATAGGTTGTTTCTAATCTTGCCCCGCCTCCCTTACCCTACATTGGCAATATAACAACCACTGGTTACACTTGACTACAAAGCACTTGAAATGTGGCTAGCACGCATGAGGAAACATTCTATCAATTGGAATTGTAAAAGCCATCTGTGGCTCTCCTATTGGGCAGCGTAGCTCTGTATATCATGGGGTCGCCAGCATTGACTCCTTCCTGTTAGTGTGGACACTGTCTTTTAGGTAGGGTTGTGGGGCTATCAGTCTAGGCCATTTGAGCATGGAGCTCTAGAGGCCACGGACTTGTTGCATGGATATGGAACATCTACATGCAGTGAATGAGACCTAGGATTACTTTAGGGGTAGACACAGAGATCACTGATTTTTCTCACAATTTATAGCATATTCATCTACGGCCTACTTTCTGTCTCTCCTTTTTTTTTTTTTTTTTTAAGCCCATGCAGCTTCCACTTCCACAGTCACACCTTTTGGTTCTTTGCAATTATTTTAGCTTCAAATTTTGTGACTATTGGGACTTTCTTGTTTTGATTTGTAAGGAGCAATTTTAACTTTCCTTCTTTACCTTGCAAATTCCACATCCGTTTGTTCTTCTCTGATGTTTTAGGTGACACAAGGCTTACACAATGCACAATCAATGTAGGCAGACACTGCTGCTCGTGTGTTTATATGTGTGTACACCAATGAGTACCCCTGTAGCCTTCGGATTTGTTTTTCTATTATAAAATCTGATTTAAAAATTTAGCTCATTGAAAAGTTTTGCTATGATTGGTTACTGTTGGTCATTATCACTGTTGTTGCCAGTAAGAATCTGGTTTTCTTTATTGGCCTTTACCTAGTCATAATAAAAATCAGAATTAAAAACACTCTGACTTTTTCATAATTTCATTTTCCCTTATTCTAGAATTTGTGTATTCTGTCCTTTGGAAATGATGGACAGAGAAGTACGGATGTTTAGGGAATGGAGAAAATATTTGACCAAGCTGCATTGTTGCATATTCACGACTTCCTAAGATCGTTGACCAGTTTCCTTCTCACTGAGGAAGGACACATGGTTGGTTGTTCCTGGCTAACTCCTTGTAAGGCGGATATACTTTCAGCTCTAGCTGCGTCCCTAACCTGGGCGACTGTAGGTTGTCAGGTTACTGTCGCTGTTCCCATTGCTCGCTGTGCAGCAGTTGATGGAGCAGTCATTGTGATGGTTGCCAGTGTTGGGCCACGTGTCTGCCAGCCAAGGCTGTGTGGCAGGCTCACTGATGTTGAGAAGTCCCGGCCTAAAGGAAAACAACGCAGAAAAGCCGGTGGTTAGGACTAGAAAATGATTCTTATTCAGGATTCCAGCAAATGTTTTACTTCATTAATCTTGCCATAATATAGTGAGCTATACCAAATGATGCTATAGTGAATTCTATTTGACAGACAGGCAATCGCAATGCCATGTTCTTCGAGGTATCTATGTGGACACATCCATAAATCTGGAAAGCAGTATTTCAGAGTTAAAAATCTTACTGTCGGCAACTTTCATCTCCCTTTATGTCATGGTGATTAAAAAATCAAATACAGACTCTGAAATGATCAGTGGAGAATCTTGAGTACAAAGGCAGGGTCAATTGCTGGACTTCATTTTTTGACCCATTGAAATGGCTTCATTAGAAAACAGAACAGTAAATAATTGAACAAATTGATCTTTCTTATAAAGCATCCTTGCATATTTTTCTTCAAAGTCCTACTTCCTTCAGAATGAGTGTGGGGCTCTAGGGCATCTTGTACACTGTCACATCAGCGTTGCAGTGGTGCATCCTGTATCAGCATGCTGTTCTGTAAGCTTGTCAACTCAGAGGGGTAATGTAATATTGTCCCCCAATGAAGCTTCAAGTGCCCAAGTCCCTGCATAATGGGAAGCTAATGAATAAGATCTGATAAGACAAAGATGTTGACACAAAGGAATATCAGTGCCCCCTCCATACAACTAATGCTAATCCGCGTCCCCTCCGGGGAGGCAGAGTGCATGTGCACCAATGAATGGCTGACCCAGAACACTCATGCCAAGGAATCAAACCGCAGGCTGTGTACTTTGTCAACACCGACCCCGCTTCAACTCAGCAGAAGAGATAAAGAGATCTGCTGTGCCCTCCACAACGGGACACGCTGGCACTATAGACAATGCCAGAGTTTTGGTTGTCCTCGCTGAAGTACAACCACCACACTTCTCACTGAGCTGGGAAGCACGAACTTCATCTATCCCACTCTATGGCTTGTTTTTATTTGGTCACATATGTTGTTAAAAGTGTCTACCTTGTTGTGCAAATGATGTTCACGTGAGGGCTAGTTCATTTTGGAAGCATATGGATTGATAATTCTTGTAGCTGTGTCCATATGGGAGCATATACTTACTCAGTTAAAAGGAGAATTTACTCCCTGCTTATAACGTGTAAAGCTTTGTTCTGAGTTCTTTAAATGGAGCCACCCATTTAAACATCATCGTTTTACGGATTGAGACTGCTATTACCCAGATTTTGCAGAAGAGCAAACCGGGGCATGTGAGAGAGGTTTGGATACTTGTGTGCCCAGTGAGTGAGTGACAGAGCTGAGCTTCAAACATGAGCCATGGTCCCAGTGTCCACACCCTGGTGTGGCATGTTATAAACACACACAGAAACATGTGGGAATCCTCTCATGTTCCCAAACACTTGGTAACAGGAAGAGTGAAGAAAATGTTTTATAGTCTCAATAAAGCTGTTAAAATTGGCCTGTTTAATGATTAAAACTGTTGATAGAAACATACTGTGAAGAGCAATGTTGCTGGACTGTTGAAGTTCTAAACATTGAAACGTAAGTTGGGGTATGGATATTTGGGGATTGCAAAAGACGTTAGTGATAGAAAATCTGCAGTGAGTAATCTTTACCTTTCTTAGTTTATTTCCTGGGAACTTAAGCCTAGAGCGCTACCACTGTTGAAGCTATTAAGAACAGAGTGTCTGTGGTCGGCACTACAGAGATACTGTGGTATACATGAAGTGTAGGTCAGGTGGAAAATTCCCAGGCTGCCTTGCATGTTTCAAAAGGAACAGACAGTGTTTTTATGCTACTGTGATTCCCTCTGAAAAAACACTCTTACAGGGAGTGCTTTGATATCATCAGAGGCTTAGTGAACTTCTCATATAGATGGGTGATTTCCAGCAGGAAGCAAGATCAACAAATGGCACCTCCTCGGGCTTCTGTTTAGACTTGAGTTTGGAATGAAAATTACTCTCAGGGAGCAGGTAAAACACGACTATTGTCCCACGATGAGGCGTAAAGTGCCAGGTGTGTATTCCAGAGGTCTCGGTGGAAGAGGCAAGCAACACCCACAGCTGCTCTCATAAGGGCGTGGGTGTCTTTTGCAACTAACAATTCCAAGGGCTATGCTGATACATTTTAGCTTATCGATCTCATGTGTTAACTTTAGTTACCCAACAGGAGCAAAGCATAAGTGTTGACTGGCTGCAGCATGTTAGAAATAACTTTATATGATTGCATCTATTCATATATTAAGAGGATTCATTTGAGTCACAACAAAACAAACAACCCCCCCCCCCCCCCCCGCAAAAAAACCAACCAATGAAACAAACAAAAACCCAAATGTGCTCTAAAAATTACATGTCAATTGCTTTCCTTTTCCATTACTTCAGATATTCCTCTCTCTCACTCCAAGAACACTTATTTGAATTGATAAACCACAACATAAATACCATGGAGTCTAGGAGCTGTGGAAAAATCATACAGCATCCCAGTAGTGAAGGCTGCCATCCTATTGGCTGGGTCTCTTCCCCACTGACTGGGTGAATGAGTTTCAAAGCCCTAGGAAATGTCTCAGAGTTGCCAGTGTTTTTAAGAGAAGCAAGATGTGGGTTCTATCCGCTTCTGTGTGTTCTTCCCCGACAGGAAATGCGGTATTGGCATTCTTTCCCAGGCTAGGCTGACCTTCACACACCCTCCCTCAGGTTTCCCTAGTTTTTCCTAGTTTAGGCTGTGGTTTGGACTTTAAGTAGGTTCTCTTGGAAGAGGCAACTGGAATGTCTGAAGCTTGGGAAACAAATGAGGAGGGACAGCTATCGAACACCGTGGTGCTCCTTCTGGATTACCACACACTCCTTGTCCTTTGCATGTTGGGAGCAGGTCTCCTGCTTGAACCACAACACTCGTTCTTTTTCTCTAAGGGATAACTAAATCTACAGCGTGAAGAACTCTAAGATTTTTACAGAGCCTCTTCTTTTATAAAGTGGAAAAAAAAATCCAGTCCCAAATAATAGAGGGGTACCTTTGGCCCCCATGCACATGACTGTATACACAAATGCCTCCTCCACAAACATATACACTCACATCCATTCATGTATCAATCATAAACTGTGTATTCATTACAGACCAGGATTTCCCATTTTATCATCACATGTAGTTATACACACCGAGCGTTAATAGGCTCTTCTGTCAAAGTCTAAACAGTAACCACTGAAGGTTTTTTGTGCTCGATAGTCTTGTGGTAACCACTTAATTCTGCCAGCAGCTCAGAAGCAGCTATAGACAGCATGGAGAAAAATGCATTTTTTTAAACTTTTAAAAATCACATGTATGTGTGTACCTCTGTGAGAGTATGCACACCGTGCCTTTAGAACCCAGAGGAGGGTGTCTGATCCCCTGCAGCTAGAGCTATAAGCGGTTGTACACCAGCTGGTGTGAGGACTGGGAACACAAGTTAGCTCTTTTGCAAGGCCAGTGGCATGCTTTCAATAATAGATCCATCTCGACAGCAGGTTGGGTGTGGTCTAAAAGCTACAAATAGTGACGCCTGATTTAAAAAAAAAAGGGGGGGGGGGCGATTTACCTCATGCTTACCTGAGATAGTTCCATGGTACATATTTCACGGGAAACTATCAAAAAGTGAGATTGGGTAAACTGATAAGGGATGGTAGGTAGAAAGCTATCTTTGGACTAATCCAATAAACTGTGTGCAACGTCACGATCCAGTGTGCACAGAAGACAATGTAATATAGGCAAGCTGGTATGGCATGGCAATACAAGGATCTGTGGGCTTTACGTGTTATGCTAAATTTGGGTTTGAAATATATTACATGTGGAACAAGGGGCCGGCTGGTAACAGTTTCTTCAGGACATGATTAATACACATCCCAAAGATCATTCTTGCCTAAACTGGCAGAGAATTTGCAGGCACAGTTTTAATGAAACAAGATGCAGCTGGACTGTCTGGGGTTTTTCTTCCAGATGCGGCCATGAGGGTAAACTAGCGCTTCCAGACAAATAACATGAGAGGCAGTGAACGCGGGAAGAGATGGCTGGACAAAGGCACCCATAGATACAGGAGGGGAAATCATCTGACTAGAAGACTTTGCCTGAGCGGTCATTAACCTAGTGATGCACCAGGTCCATTGACGATCCAGCATCTGAGACAGATGAAGAACACCAGGGCTGAAGAGATGGACAAAGAGAACTTGGCGGAGAAGTTTGACACAGTATGCATTCTCTGTCCCTTCAACACAAAACATACAAACACACATACATGTGTGCACACACGAGCATGGGCAAACATACACTGCACAGCCATCCCTTGGATAGGAATGACGCTGTGTCCCAATGAACTATTGTTCTTATCCTGTTTTATGCTCCCCCAAATGATTAGCAACTGCTACTACCACATAGCAGATTTTGAAAAGCGCTCATCTTCTTTAATATGCATCTTGTCTTTCTCATTATATTTTAAAATCCAGGGTGGGGATTTTTACCCATGGTGGCTGCTGAGTAGTACAAGTTTATTCTAGTTAATGAACCAACATGTGTAAAATTGTGTGAAAACAAAACAACACAACAATAATAAAAAAAACCCCAGTCATCCTGAGTTATAATTCTGAAATTTTCATTGAACCATATCCTCACCAACATTCCTGCACCTTTCCTCATTGGGGACAATGACAATTTCTACTGAGGAATGGAAATAAATCTACTTCATGGCTAGGCATCTGTTTTTAAATTTAAACAGCTATGTCTTCATTGCTGGCAAATTCGAAAATAGAGAATTTAAGAACCTCACAATTCTTCACTCACAACAGAAGACCCATTTAGTGCTTCTTATGCATTTCTGCCATTGTTTCCCACACGAGAATTTTGTTTCCGTAGGTTGTCAAGGTTTTAGCAAAGGAATGAGGCTTATATTTTATTCTTATGCATGTGTGTGTGAGCATGTGCACACACGTCCATGCACAGAGGCCACTGCCAAGATCCCTGAAGTCTGCAGTCTTAAGCACACACACAAAAGGTGGTGGCTAAGTCATCAGGCATTCCAGATTTACCTAAGAGGAAATATCCCTGTGCCAGAGGCTCATTCAGGAATGCCTGGGCTGTGCCTGACATGGAATTCCCCAGGATGCCAAAACAGGCTGTGGTTTAATTCTCGAATCTAGTGGATTTATTTTTTTATGCAGACTTAGTAGCTTTGGGAGTGTTTTGGAGGCTGGCTTTTGTTTCACAGGTATGAAAACAAGAAGTTAATGGTATCCAGGAATGAAAAGATTAGTGCCTATTGCCACATTTGCAAAGCCTTGGCTAGAGGCAGGCAACTTCTTCTTCCAAATCACTCTTTGTTATACAGCAAGTTCAATAACGTTCCTATCAGACGTGCCTTGGAATTGGGAATAATACTTTATTCATTTTTCACTGTTCGGTAGTTAACCACAGATTTCAACGAGACACAGAAAGGTACTCAGTAAGTTAAACAAATTGGGATTATCAAATAGTTTCTGTTGGAAGGTATTTTTTTTTATTTTCCTTTTCTTCCCTGCCCCCCCCCCATCATCTTGATGTTATTGGATTGTTTTTGGGGGGTGGTGGTGAAAATAAATCACTTATTGTGGAAAATATTTAAGCCTGTGTCCTGTGATTTACACCTGTGTTGGCCCCTTTAAGCTTCTTGCCGCCTCGGTTTGTGATTTCTCTGTGAATATATTACAATTCACTGAATAATAATAAGCCCCCAAAAAAACCATAAATGTGGAATTGAGGTTCATTTTAATTAGAGGTGAAAAATCTCTTTGTTAGCAAGCTACCTAGATCCCGTCCTTTCAATGTATTTCCCTCCAAATGTGGATGTGAATTACGCTAAATTCTTACCAAGAACAAACAGCACCCACAACTTCCGAGCAACTGCCGCATTCAGCAGGTTTCCAAGTGAACGCCTTTCTTTGATAGTGTCTGTTAACTAGCTATATTTCTTAATCTTTCTAAGTGCCACAGCTTAATCACTTTAACTCCTTGTAATCATCTGCTAAATCAGCAAGTCTGTTTTTCTCGGGTGAAGTGCTCCCTCTCGTGGTCAAGGTCTAAAATGCAACCATTCATACCAATAACTATAAACCCCTTGGTTGGAAGAGTACATACAGCTGAAGGGAGAGATCTCTCCAAAGTATTGGAACAAATTTCACATGGGAGCTTACTCTTTGAACAAAGGAAGCAGTGTCACTGAGAAGACAAGAAAGGGCTGGAATTCCCCTTCGGATCTAAAAAAACAAGTAAGATAATTACCTCCCTCCACTGCTGACGGCTTCGCCTCCTCTTTGATAAGTTACTAGAATGTTACAATAAAAAGAGAGAGAGAGAGAACAATTAATAGACATGTTTATATAGCAGGAGTCATCCTATTCATGAATATCTTTCCAAAGTGTCATTCTGTCTCCTTTCCTACCTAGAAACTCTATAAACCACTGCAAGATGGAGTAGATTTTTGCTCCATCTAGGATTATTTTAGAAGATGGTTTTTAGACAAACTATACCTCATTCCTAATTTTTTCGTGTCTAAATATGATTGCAAAAAGCAAAATTAAAATTTCAGTACACTATTACTAAGCACAACTCATTTGTATGTGTACATTATCATCTCTATAGATTTCTTTAGAATTTCTTACCACTTAACTTAATTCTATGATTTTTGTATATATAATCTTAAATTCAGAGTGCAAGAAAACTTGGTAGATTGTTTCCCCAGAAGAAGGCACAGAAGTAAAGAAAAGACACATGCTCAAATAAACCTTTTTTTCCACACACAAAGACTTATTCCAAGTTGTGACAATTAATGTGACCTATTTTATATGTGGCTTGTGAAAACCTTTTCACATTATATTTCTATCAGACATTATATTTTTATCAGATATGATGAAAAAATATTTTAATGCCATTTAGGGATTAATCCATTTTATTTTGGCCAGAACAAAAAACAAAAAAACCAAAAAAAAAAAAAAAAAAAAAAAAAACCAAAAAAACGACTTATACATAGTTAGGCAAGGAGTTAAGAAGATTAGCTTTCCTGTAAATACAGACACATTTTCTAAGAAGAAATGTGTTTTTAAAAGCTGCCAAGTTTCTGCTACTTAGAAAAACTCCACACTGGAAGTCTGCTCGGGAGAGATAACTGTGCCCAGTGATCCCAATAACTGGATTAGAACTGAGGACACATAACTACAGGGACATCTTTGACTGGAGGTGACGTGAGAGGAGGGTATGTTCTGAAAGAAGCTGAACAGAACCAAGACGAGGACTCCGACTTGTCGGAAGTGGAGTTCACTGCTCATGTGGGACGGAGATTCGGGGTGCCTCTGAGAATATTAATTCTATGGACAGAGAACTAAAAAGGAGAGCTTTTTTTTTTTTTTTTTTTCCCCTGTTGTTGGAAAACTTGAAAGCTGTGGTCCAGGGAAGGAAGATGCATTGCCTAGTGTGAACTAATCCGTGAGACAATTAGTGCGTTAAATCATGCCCAGGGTAGGAAAAGTGTTCTTGTTTAATGGAGGCACATGCACACAGGCTGAGACACAATGTGGCGTGCAGAATGTGTAACTGCGTTAAGCAGATGAAAAACAACAGCAACCATTCATTTCTACTTCAGATGCATGCCTGGCGTGAGTAAGTGAAACACTGTATTCTGTGTCAGTCCCTTCCCCAAGTTACTGTTCAGAATGAACTGAAACCAGAGACATAACAGCATGTCACACGCCAAACTAACACACGGAAAGGGGAGGGTAAGTACAAATAGATACCTGTTGGTGTGAAGGTAAAGGACGGGACTGAAAAATCAAAACAAAACAGAAACTAGTTATTAAGCTGAAGAGAGAAGGGGGACATATCACATTAGTATAAATCAAGCAGACAGCTGAACATAACACAAATGTAAATAACCAAGCCAGTAGGTTTGACACGCTGATATATATGAAGAACACCAAGTCTGAAGTCTAAAAAAAAAAAAAAAAAAAAGCAGCTTGTCTCTACAGGTACCATTCTGAAGTGTCTGACATTCTAATACTCTCAGGAGGGGAATTGTCTGGGTTAGCCTGCGAATGACCTTGCGTTTAGTAACACGGAGTCTGCCCACGGCTTTAGTACAAACAGAAATCCTCCGCTATTAATCATTTCCAAACACTGGATGATGGATTCTTAAACAAGTATTATCAGGGCTGTGCTGGAACCTTATCTAGACATCTGAAAGTAAATGCTTAGTAAGTGGAATAATAGGTGCAGTGGAGTGTTCATTACTGGAAAGGGGAGAGAGCGAGGGAGAGAGAGAGAGAGAGAGAGAGAGAGAGAGAGAGAGAGAGAGAGAGAGAGAGAGGAGGAGAGAGAGAGGGAGGGAGGAAGAGAGAGAGAGAATCACGCAAATCATACCGCTTTACTGATGAGAAATGCCTGGCAGCACAGTAACAGAGAAACATGTTTTTTTTTTTTTATTGTTTTTGATCATCATAAAAATTTGTGAATGGATAGGAAAAGATGTGCAGCTCAAACTCCAATTTCTCTATGATACTTTATATTTAGAAGCTTTCTAGGAGCAGACAGAACATCTTTTAAATGCCATCCTAGAAGCTGAACAAAAGAACAATAACAGCCACCCCCCCTTCACTCTCTCTGCAGTTATAAATCTTAATCTAATCAATAATGCCTGAAATTGAACTGCAGACCTCAAAAGTAGCAGTCTGGCCTCCCCCACTTCCCCATCTTCTCTCTTTGCTGGGTGTCGGCTGGCACCACAGCAATTTCCATGCTATTTCATAGAGGGAGGAGACAAGATGATTTTCCAATCTCACCCCTTCAACTTCAAGTAAAAATGCGGCCCTAATAAGGACAGCAGGAAAATTCCTTCTTTTCAGATTAAAGATTGCTTTCAACAATTCTTTAGGGAAATAAGCTAGAATATTGATTACTTATCATGTATCAAAACTGCTAAAGTATATTTTCCATTTATATATACATCAATAGGAAATTGATGTTAGGATCTGAGCTTTGACGGGAACATGCTGGAAGGCTGTAGCATGCCCACTTCTTTGCAAAGCACTTAGTACTAGCATACTAGAAAGAAGAGCAACAAAACCCTCACCGCACCCTCAATTTATACACAGCAGAACTGTCGTAAGAATTCTATTGTGATTTTTTCCACTCAGATCTTTTCAAAGTCAATATAATTTTGCTACATTAAAAAAAAAAAATCCCCAATAGTAACAAGTCCTCACAAAATACAAAAAAGAGGTGCATTTCAAACTAAAGCTATTTAAGCAGGAATGGAGCGCCTGGACATTAATTTGTGATTACAAGGACACGGGGAAAGAGAAAAGGCCAGTGGAGATAGGTTTGCTAACCCGTTTGTGAAGATAAAGAACAAATAAAGATAGGCGAGCACTCAGCGGGTGTACCCACCCAAACCCAACTTGATTCCCAGATCTTCCAATAACACAGCTAACACTCTGTGTGCTTGCTGATGATGGGGATTTGTGGGAATGGGTGTAGACTGGAATGCACATCCCACCAACAGAAACGCAGTGAGGCCATACCAAAAATCCTCACTAGTATCCAAACGTCACACTTGGGCTTGACGTTGTATAGGCAAATGGGCACTATGCACTGATGTCTTTAAAATACGCCGTATCTTAGTTCATTAAAGTCACTGCCATTATTTTTTATTTTTGGCATAAGAAATTAAAGATGGCACAATGTACTTTTTAAAAAAAATGCATAGAAAAAGAATTCAAAAAAAAAATGCCCAAGTGAGGAACTCAGAATCAAGGGCTCAGGAAGTCACATTCATAATTATGTTCCATGAGTTCTGTCTCAACAGCAGCTAATTGGAAAGACAATGGTATTAGTTGGATAGCTCTGGGGAATGCACGTAGGTGTTTACTGGCATGCTCAAAGGACATTAGTAGAGGAAAGGAATGCTTTGGAGAGCAAGGAGAGTTTTGGGTCACATCTTTAGATCCCGAGACAATAGAGAGCATTAACCTGCTACAATTATCCGGCTAGGGCACTTCGCTGCCACTGGAAACAATGGATGGATACTTACACAATCACGTTGTTGATGGAGGTCCCTCAGGCAGAAGGTGCAAGGGACTCCACATTTAGATATCACTTAGCTATGTTTCCTAACTCAAGTCAGATTTCCAAACCAGTCTCCAAGGGTACCCTCCTCCCTCCCCAAGCCACTTCCCCCAAGCCCCTTCTCTTCCTTACTCTGAGTCAGAGGGTCATCTGGCCAGCATGTGTCTGCTATTGTTCCACTTTGTATACATAATGAGCCACACTGTCTTTGCGTTGGCCCGGAGCCCTTCTTCGCGATTTCACAGGCAGGGCCACCGACAGAACACATGTCTGGGGCTTAAAAAGGTACAGATGACAATGGCCGAGAAGATTTACATATGGTAGGAGGCTGCAGGGCCAGTCAGGGGTTCATTTTCACAGGACTGGTGACAGTCTCGCTCAATTCTTTTGTCAGGATCTCTTGCAAGCAAGAGTACAGAAAGAGGAGACTGCTGACCTAGAATTCTGTCTAAATGTAGAGGGACATTTTAGTTCCACCTACCATGGACACCATTGACTTTCCATACAATTAGTCAGTGGCAGCACATTGCCAGGACATGTACAGAGTGTTTGCTTAGGAAACATTGGCACAGTTAGAATAAAAAGGAGGTCATGGTTGGGCAAGGAGTATCCTTATTAGCAAGTCTGCCTTGTTAGCAACGTAAGTCTCTTATATCAGGCTGACGTATGGGCCCTCTATCTAGGGTGACTCACAATGTTATCATCCAAATCACGATAATTTTGGGAACAAAAAGGAACATTATAAATAAGGACAGGAGAAGGGGTTAGCCACTGTGACTTATAGCTGACCTGTTATAACCAGAGTTATGGAATACTTGGGGATGGAGAGGACGGCTATCTATCAGACAGGGGGAAGAACTGACTCGGAGAATAAAAATTCAACATAAGCATCTCCGCGATCTGAGGGTGTGTTGCAAAGGTATGCGAGTCTCTCAGCATGTGTGGCCCAGCCTCCAAGTTGTGAATCATAGCAAGCAAAGAGCGCTTTGTCTAAACCTGAGTAGACACCTTAATGAAACTACTAGTTAAACATGTATAAATATTCAACTCCGTGTAAAATCTGTGAATGATAAATGAACCTCAATTTGCTACCTAAAGCAGCCCACACACCTGCCATTCGTACCCACTAAGGGCAATTGTTATAAATAAGCACATGGCAGTAAGTGCTCATCCGTAAAAACCAAACTAAGATAAAAACAAAACCCCAAGTCATGACAACAACAACAACAACAAAATAAGCCTGAATTCATAATTCCTGTGACAGGTGATTTCAAATTTCTCTCAGGAGCATAAAACAAAACAAACATCTGCCTAAAAGAATAGGGTAACGTCTAGATCTTGAAGAAACCTAGTTAAGAGGAAGTGGGTCCTGAGAGCTTAGAAAATTCTGTTGCTGTTCTAAAAACACAACCACGGTCCGATACGGACAGTGTGGAGAAATAACAGCACTTATCGAGAACCTTCACGCATTCAAGCCGTTTAACCAGGGCTGCCCGCCACGAGTAACATACTATCAGTTTAAGATAAAAGGTTTTCTAGCCGCCACACCTTTCCGGATGCCCGCGTACGTGCTGGTGAGCCCGTTCCTCTTCTTGCGGTGCCGGTAAAGCCAGATGCTGAAGACCATGAGGATAATCCAACAGGCTGCCCCGATGCCCGCGATGAATGCTGGCTGCTTCACCACGTCCGAGATCTGCTGAGCGAGGCTCACTTGGTCCTCGGGAGACACGGGGTTTCCATGAGAATCTGAAAGGCCATCTCTTGGTTACTCGGGGTCAAAATCTCAACGTGACACAATACTACACGTGGACCCAGGATACGCGGCTCGTGTTTCATCTTGTTAACGTTTGGACGATGATGTCTGTTTTGCCTTTTTGCCTCAGCCACCACGGGGAAGTTTGAGAGATTTTTCAGGGAAAATTTTTATTTATTCCGTTTATTTTTAATTCAAAGCAAGGATGTCACATTTTTATGAGACTAGAGTTAAAGATATCAAATGCCCTCTGTCTCTGTATTTCAGAAAACTGTGTGGGTGTTTAAGAGTGGGTTTCCTATGACAAAACTAACTATATATACCAATGTGCCTCTAAAATATGGAATAATTTAATGCATTCCAGTAAATAAGGCACATTGAATGAGTAAATACACTTTCTCACACATCTGTAGGAACCCTCAAATATTTGCTTCAAAAATGGTAGAAATGGATTAGGTACCGCGGCACACAGCTGTAGGTCCAGCACACAGGAAGCAGAGGCAGGTGGATCTCTATGAGATTTGAGACCAGCCAGTCTACACAGTCCCAGGCCAGTCAAGGTTACATAGTGAAACTCTGTCTTAAAAATGGTGTGTGGGGCGGGAGTGGGATAGGAAACCAGAATTGAAATTTTACTTCTTCTGTAAGTAGATCTTAAAAAAAATATATTTGTTCTTTTCTCACAACTATTTTTCAGGATTCTCAACTGTTAGAATGACACATTATTTGAAGTTATAGTCAGAAAGAATTACAAAACAGAAGATCACTAAAACACTGTAAAAAAAAAATTAGCCCTGCAAGAACTATGGATAATCTTTCTTTTAAAATAATAATGATGGTCAGCAGAAGATATAAGAAAAGAACATTAAATATGTAAAAGAATCATCAAGTGTTATGAATAGCCAAAAGGACTCATATTTTCTGTTAAGACATTTTGAATCAAAATTAAAAATTGATAGAATATACCGGTAATAAAATGTACTCATTGGACATTTGTCTTAAGCCTACAGAGAGGTCGCTGAAGCCCTCAGTTCTTAGTCCAGGTCCCACAGAGCGGCCTGGAGACTGTTGTGCTCCCATCAAGGCAGCCCATTTTGTTGGCCCTGCGTGATGCCCAACTTGAGCCTGCCCAATGTGCAGAATCTTCACTCGTGGCAAAAGTTTTAATGTCACTCCACACAACATCTGGTGGAAAAAGAGGTGCTCACCCATTTTACTGCGGTTGGTGCTTTCTTGCTATTGTTAAATCATCTGACATAGACCATTGCTGTCCTGCATTCTTAAAGTTTCATGTTGGATTGGGTCTACTTTTTCCTTTTTACTGTAAATTTGTTATTTGATATATACAGTGTATTCTCCCACTACCCCTGTTTATCTCCTTCTGGGGGTTCTGTGACCCGTTTAGCTTAACCAGGACCACCTGTATGACCATCGGATCGGAACTATACCCTGGAGTCTGGCACAGCCATCCGTGGGCACACAGTTAAGGGGGAATGGTTCCCTCTTGTCCTAAACCCATTAGCAGCTAATAGAAAGGCATTGAGGGGTAGATTTGACTTAGTCCTTTTTTTTTTTTTTTTTTCTGTTGTGAGAAAGTCAGGGCCATCTTCTAGGAATATGTTTCAGCTTTGAAAAGAATGTATGTGTGTATGTATTTTGGGTGCAAATGTATGTGGGGGCATGTGGGTGTGGGTGTGTTTGTGTTACGTATATGCACGTGGAGGCCAGAATTCAGCACTGAATGTCTTCCTCAGTCTTCGTTTTGGAGACAGAATCTCTCACTGAATGTACGGTTCAGTGTTTCCGCTAGTCTGGTTGCCAGCTAGCGACAGGCATCTGTTTTTCTCTGCCTCTCCAATGCCAGGATTTTGGAGGCACACTGTCATGCCCAGCTTTTACATGGGTCCTAGGGATTCTGATTTGGATTCTCACACTCTCACAGCAAGCACAGAGCCGTCTCTGCAGCTCCATCTTTCTGTTTTCTCCCAGTTCTTAGTATGCTCAACCCAGATATGCATCTTATACTCTGGCCTCCGTATGACCAACTCTGTATGGGACACAGCAGTTCACCCTACTTCACCGACCCCACTCGCCCTCTATGGACTCTGCACATGGACAGTCGTGACAGCCTCTCAGTGATGGCACAACACTCTGGAATCCATCCCTGTGTCCTCTCGGAACAACTAAACCCTTGAACTTTACAGCGGTTTAGTTCTGAGGAGACTTCTGAGTACCAATAAAGACACCATTCCATGGGTCCTCTCTCTAGATTCACACCTGCAGGATAATGAGTTGCTCCTGTGGCCTTCTCTCTTGATCCTTGTCTGCACCCCTGCCCTTGCACAAACTGCTTCTGGTATGTCACATGTTTTGTCCCATTGCCTCCTCCATGTCTCCTTGGAGACAAACATACCCGTCCCTCATTCATCCTGGTCAGTGACAGGGGGGTCATGTAGGCAGGTTACATAAAAAGTTCAGGACACCTGCCAGTCTAAGTGCTCTGTGACAGGGACACCAGGTCATGGGCTGGATGCTTCGGCATATGGACACCACCAGCCAGCTCCTTGGAGCCCTGACAAGGGAGGACTTGTGTATAGTCACTCTGCAGAAGGAGAATTCAAACCCAAATCAGAGAGACATACAGCAATTCTGTCAACGCTATCTGCTTTAAAACAGGAGCGTTTTCCAGCTCCTAAGCATATTTTCTTTTCTAGAAAAATAATCGGCACCACTAATTCTTCATGTATGACATTTCTTAACTTGAATATTGCTTTTTTCTTATTAAATGATAGGACAAATAGCTTTCGGTGTGTATTGAGACTACTTTAGGAGCATAGGACTCCTCTCCACATGAAATGTCTAAATTCCTTTTCATGGTGTGTGTGTGTGTGTGTGTGTGTGTGTGTGTGTGTGTGTGTGTGTGTGCATGCACTCTTTCCTTGAACACAACTCCTAATTTCATTCTACAGAGGGTCAAGGCTGGAAAACTATTTTCACAAGCAGTCACCTGCTTTCAACTGTTTGTTGACTGAAAGTTTTATTTCATGTCCCAGACCCTTTTATCTCTGGTTGGCCTAAGAGCATTTCAACCTCTCGATGCTCACTAAGCAGACCTATTCTTTTCATTCTTAATTCACCCTTTGTATCTACTAGGTTTATAGATCCCATGGCTGTTTGTGCAAGGTTAAATTGGGTAGCGTCAGATTTTATAGAAAGGGCCATGGGAGGTTCCAATGCCAGCGACCAGATGGGCTTAACAGAATAGTGTAGTGTGACTAATGAATTAAAATGGCCAGTCGGTATATCAGGCTTTGTCTTGGTGCAGCTGAGGCTATATTAAAATATGGGAACCTAGAACACATTTATAATTCCAAGAAAATCAATCTGACTCTTAAATTTCTTGATATAAATCTTAATAAAATAACTCATACTCCCCTTCTCAAAGCCATCTTCCAAAATAATAGGACGGAAAGGCAGTGTGCTATAAAAGCAAACAATACCAACCGGATTGTAGCAATGTAACTTGTAATGTTAAAAAATAGATATCGACATTACACAAAAGTGAATAAATGTGTGTGTCAACTTATATTTATTCCTGCATGTATGTTAAAACATTGTAACAGATGCATTAAGCAAATTTGTTTCAGTTTCCTATATTGCTTGAAATAAGTTGTGAAGCTATTTTTGTCTAGAAGATATGCATGTAATAATTACTTTCAAAGTTGGTTAAGTAGAAATGATAAGTGAAAAATTATTAAACTCTAGCCCAGAGTTGTAACTTAGTGAGCAAGCTTTAAATGGGGATCTCATAATTGCCATTTAAAGCTCCACTTGATGGAAGGTGGTTCCCTACTTAGTGACCTCATTCTGTGGTGGCCCAGCCATCTTATGGGTAATCACAACGGGCGAGAGCAATATGCACCTCTCTTAGCCTGAAGCACTGAAGCTCTTCCCATAGGATGTGTTTCCTTTCCTCTCTTCAGCTGGCCTGGGGACAACCCTGGAAATGTCATTTTAAAGATTCAATCTTCTCAGCCTGTGGCCCAGGGTGCCTGGCACTCTTAGAGTTTATAGGGAGCTGAGTCCTAACCAATAACTGTGTGTTTGGGATACTACACTGTGTCACATCGCAGAGCTTTTCCAACGGTCTTGGAGCCACCAGCTTGGTCTTAACAATGAAATCTGAACAATATCCCAGGCTGAATGTTTCTTGATTTATGTGGACATAATTCTAGGATGACAACACTGTTAGTACATTAAGAAGGTGTGAACACTTGTAAAGCACGTAGACTTACATCATCTGATCCTTCGGTCACAATTTAACATGGGACATAAAATATTCCAAAGTTTAATTTCTGATTGTTAATATATAAAGTTGACAGTGCACGCCTTGTTACCTTTCATAATTTAAATGTCACTGCTTAAAAATCAAACTATTTTTATCTTGTCTTTTTAAGAATAATAGTATTGGTTGTCTTATTTTTTTTTACCTGTTAATTTGTATATTCTGTAGGTAATATATTTTCTGTAGTGAATGATAGTCAGGTAGGCTTCTGTGCCACATTTTCCTTTTCATTAACCCAATATTTTTTTACACAGAAATTGTATTTAGCCTTCTAAATAATTAGTATATAAATATTTAAAATTAATATCTTAATTTAGCTCTTGTAATAAATACCAGTTATAATTTTAAATAGGCATGAAATGTAAATATAAATTTCGCATTGCTATAAATTTCCAGTACCTGGCTCAGGTGTTGCAAGGAAGGGTTCTATTTCCTGTGCTGGCTAGTCGTATGTCAACTTGACACATTAACTAGAGTCGTCTGAAAGGAGGAACCCTTAATTGAGAAAACGCCTCCATAAGATCTGGCTGTAAGACATTTTCTTAATTAGTGATTGATGGGGGAGGGCCCAACCCCTTGTGGGTGGTGCTATTCTGGGCTGGTGTGGTCCTGGGTTCTATAAGAAAGCAGGCTGAGGAAGCCTGGGAAGCAGGCCAGTAAGCAAAACCCCTCCATGGCTTCTGCATCATCAGCTCCTGTCTCCGGGATCCTGCCCTGTTTGAGTCACTGTCCTGACTTCTTTCAATGATGAACAGTGCCATGGAAGTGTAATCTAAATAAACCCTTTCCTCCTCAACTTGCTTATGGTCATGGTGTTTTGTCAGAGCAATAGAAACCCTAACTAAGATACTTCCCTTCCCAAACAGTTATAAAATCCACAAGTGGAAAGTTTGTGTCTTTCTTTTTCATTGAGGTTTCTTTGATGTTCAATTAATAGCATCTGTTAATTAGATAAAAATTCCGTAAGACAGAGTAAGAATGATAGTAAATATTAATAGCTCTGTATTTGAAAGAGCAATAATTGCACTTTGATGTTTTAGTTTGAGACAACCACAGTCATTAACCATCTATAACATCTTGGTCAATGATGCACCACACACACGCAGAACCATGTTCCCAAAAGACTGCATTGCCTGGTGATGTCACAGATGTCTTAGTTTATATAACTGTACTCTGTGATGCACACACAACAACACAATCACCCAATGGTGTATTTCCCAGACTTTACCGCCTTCGGTGAGTGACGTGTGGCTACGGATCTATAGTTACCTATGTTTTAGATAAATCAAGATAGCCCCATGGCAGCCATGAGCCATACTCCAGCTTCTACTTGACTTGCAGCAATGGCTGATCCATAAGCAAAATAAAAAGAGCCACGCAGAACCAAGTGGGAAAATGACAGATCATGTGACTCTTACCCAACTGGATGAACTGAGGCTCACTCTTGACCCCAGGACCAGCCCCTGTGCTTGCTGCCACCTCCACACTGTAGCGGACCCCAGGAACCAGCGAGGGGATGACCACCGAAAAGGTAGAGCCGTCAACTGTCTTGTTGATGTGATACCTAGTTTCGTTACCTAGACACCAAACCTGCAAGAAGTATATAACGAAAGCAAAGCTGAAAATTTACCCCTTAATGGCAAAGCTCAACGTCAATCATAGACACGTTTCAGACCTACACAGAGTTCAGACCTGTCGAGAACCCAACCAAGGAAACTTTAAAAGTCATTCTTGGCCTTGACCTAATTCTGAGATTATTCTAGTCAGATTGCATATTGGCTGGAGCTGTTTAACGTAGCTTTAATGTTTTCACAGGTACTTTTGTTATATACAATCATTTAAGAGTCTATCATACAGGGTAGTGGTTTTCAACCTTATCCTAAGTTGTGACCCTTTAATATAGTTTATCATGTTGTGGTGACCCCCCAATGATAGAGTTATTTCCATTGCTACTTTATAATTGTAATTTTGCTACTACTATGAATCATAATGTAAGTATCTGTGTTTTCTGTTGGTCTTAGGCAACCCCCTTGAAAAGGATGTTTGACTCCCAAAGGGGTCACAACCCATAGGTTGAGAACCACTGATAGAGAGGCTGGACATATGTCTCAACAGTTAAGAAAGTTTGCTACATAACCATAGGGATCATGAGTCCAGAGTTTAGATTACAACACCTATATAATTTAGTCCATAAACATCTGTAACTCCATTTATGAGGGATCTGATATCCTTTTGTGGCTTTGATATGCACCCACACACACATAAATAAATACATAAAACAAAAAAAAATTATGAAAAAAATCTTATCACATAAATTGGTCAACTTGCTATACAATATATATATATATTATAATATATATATTGCTTATTTCTCTCTTAAGGCTCTCATCGGCCCACTTCATTAGGTTTTTGTTCATTTTTTTAAACAGCAAGAAATTTTCACGAAGAAATTAAAAATTATTCTGCAGCAGGCTGTGAATTATTATTCACATGAAGAAGAAGAATGTATCTGCCATCCTCTGACAATTATGCGGCAGGAGTAATTCCATACGACCAGACGCCAAAAAACATAGCTGCATAGGAAGCACCGAGCCTGATACCTCGGGACAGAATTAACCAGAACTAACACATCACGTGAACATCAAAACAAAGACACAGTTGTCTGGGAAGGCAGAAGAGCTCCTGAATAATCAAAAATATTTCACACAAACAGGTTGGTATTGAAAATAACGTATTATTACCAAGGAGGAAGGGTCACCTTAGGGTTTATCTAGAGTATGGTACGCTGAACTGTGATCAATAAGCAACATTAACAAACAGAGCTTCCCTATAAATTGAAATCTTCATTTCTGCTTTGTACCACATTGGGAAATGAAAAGAATAACTATATACATTTGCTGCAAGAAAATTCCCGTAATAAAAAGGAAACCGTGTCGTCATGAACTTTGATAGTGACATGCAATAAGAATCCATCTGCTTAGGAAATTGAAAGTTTGACTACACTCTAAGCCTGGCTTTTAAGTGTCATTAAAAGATTAATCATAGAACAATAATTTTGAATAAATTGATATAAGGAATGATATTTTTGTTGTTCCCACAAGGAAATGGTATCTAGAGTAGTTCATAACACTCTGGGTTCTCTGAAATACCCTCCAGCAGTAGGAAGGACTGGCTAGGATGGACTATTATCTAAACTATACTAGGAACACAGACCTCAAGGTGATCAAAACACCAATGTGTCTATCACTTGGCCAATAAACTTTAACTCTTTCTTTGAAAGTTTTTATGACTGCAATACAGTTTGAATGCACAATGCTCACAACTGGTGAGACATTCTATCCCGACCTGACCACTGGAAAGAGACTCCTTTGTGAATTTTTCCCAACAATTACATTACACAGCTGAACCGAAGCCACAAACTGATTTCGTACCAGTCAATCGGGTTCTGAAAGGCATTTTATTATTTTAAATTGACCATGAAGTTAAGTGAAATCCATCCTTGCACATTTCTCGAGGAGAGAAATGAGTTCTGACTCTTAGGGGAAAATGTCTACGTTACACAATTTTCCTTGGGAGCCAAGACATCATCAAATTTTAGGCTCTTTTACAAATGCTTCTCCTACAGTCTGCTTCCCTGGGCTGAAATATAGCATCCTGTTATACCCTAGTACTGACAAAAACCTTAGACCTTATGAGAAAGCATTGAAAATGACGGCCATTTTTATCTTTTAATGAACCAGTTCCAAATGAAAATTTTATTCGAAATGCTTTGAAACATCTATAGGGTATTTACAGCAGTCTTCAAAAATACTTTGTGTCGTCATGTGCCTATGTGTGTGTGTGTGTGTGTGTGTGTGTGTGTGTGTGTGTGTGTGTGTGTGTGTGTGTGTGTGTGTGTAGCCCTGAGTTTGTCACTCTCCAGGTTACTTTTTGATACAGTATTTCTTAGTGAACCTGGAGCTACCTCTGGGCTGGACACCCTGGAGTCAGCAAGCCCAGACTTCTCTCCTGCTGGGCTCACAGGCACGTGCCCTACTTCCACTTTTTCCAGTTGCTTCTGGGTCAAACCCAGGCCTTTATGTTCATGCTGTAAGTACTTACCGACCAAGCCCTCTCCCCAGCCCTGCTGACTATTCAGAAAGCATGCAAACAGTTAACCTACAAACATTTTATAAGGTTATTATTCTTTTTTTGGTTTCAAAAAATCACTTTCAAATACTATGCCTACCATTAAGCTTAGGTTTATTCATTACCCATTTAGTTATTACACATACTAAAAAAAAAAAAACTGACTTGTTTTGTGTTTTGGTGTGTGTGTGTGTGTGTGTGTGTTGAATTTCTCATCCATCTGACTCTATCTCACAAGAACTGGAAATACAGACATGTATCACTAGTTTCAGCTTTACGAATTAATTTGGTACTCAAAAAACATTATGTTCCAAGCCAGCAAGATGGCTCAGTGGGTAAGAGGCTGGTCACTGGGGCTCACAATCCGAGCTGGATCCCCAGAAGCTGAAGAATGGAAGGGAAAAACAGAGTCTTGGGGGTTGTCTCTGACTTGCCCTCTCTCATCATGTCACACATGCATAAACACACACACACACACACACACACACACACACACACACACACACACACAGAGTAAATAAATGATAATGAAATTATGGTCTTCAGTTCAGCTTTCCTTTGACATCTATCATATCGCCAGAAGATTTAGTAGAATAAACATACAATGGTCCTGGTCAGGCCACACAAGTGCTTCTGATGTTAGCCTGTAGTTCAAAGTCGCTGACTTACACCAGAGAAGGCAAATGTGTGCATCTTCCTAAGCACAGGTCCATGTTCACAGATGCACAGCCAGATGTATCCATGTTCTCAGTAATGGATATGAACGTACACCACAATGCTAGCTAATAACCAGAAAACTATGCAGGCATCATAGGAAGGCTAAGTACAGGAGTGAATGTTTTATAGTTAAAATTGGTCATGGTTAAAGATATGTATATGTATATATAGTTTGTTAGCAGAGATGCTGAAAAAGCACACACTTACTTTCTATTGAGATGTTCCTGATTTAATCCACCAGCTATTTGTTTACCACTACACTAAAACACAAATTTCATCACTATACTCTAACACAGATTCACTACTAGGCCAAGTTCACATTCTATTGAGTAAATCTAAAGTTTATAATGTTTTTTTTTTTAATGAATGTATTTGCATAGAATGAATCTTAGTGGAAACTGTCCATATTAATGGGCAGAAGAACTATTACTACACAGGCAAAAATAATTATTCAGAATCACTGGATAAAAATTACTTGAAAAATACATTACATATCTCAAAAACGTATAACAAACAGAATTTTGTTTAGAGACTAAAAATTCTTCATGGAAAACAGACTTCCATGCACAGAAAAACAACTTTCCCAACCTAATTGTAAAGTTCTAAATTTTGCAGGTGTCAAAAGAGGAAAAGAATCTTCAAAAAATTGTCATCGTTAAACAGAATGTGACTATGTTTAGAGGCAGTTCCCGAGAGTAACCCAATTCTGGGTGATACATTGAAAGCCACAATTTGGGGGAGAAAAAAGGTATCATGATCATTAAAATTTCTATTACTATGAGATTACATAAGCAAATATTAAATGACCACTTACAACCTTTATTTTAATTTTTACTTATTTATTTTCCAAATAGCTTTTCTAGTTATGGACAATTACTCCATACTATGCCTAAAGTTTAAGAAATAATTCTACATGTTGGCAGTTGGGCCAGCAGATGGCGACAAAGGACGAGAGACAATTCACCCAGGTTGCTTTTCCTGGGAGCCATGAGGGCTGCCAGTGAATTTACTAAGCGAATTACCTTATATTCTTGAACCATTCCATTCTGAGTATCCTCAGGAGGTGGCTGCCAGGAGACAAGGATTGCCGTACCGTTTCCATCATTCTTCGACACAGTCACACTTCGGGGAGGGGCACTTGGTGCTGTTAAATTGTAGCAAAAAGTAGATTGTGAAGAGTGTCCTGTAGAACACCAACGCACACAGTACTTAAAAACACACAGTAAACGTGCAGACGCTACACGTTTTGAATGTGAGTATCACCCAGCCCCACAGGGCTCCGAACTACAAGTTTCCTCCAAGTTACACGAAGTCATTGACACTGTGAATTTTTCATAACCAGTTACAGTGACAGCACGAAATGGCTCAGGACAGAGCAGCGAGCTGGATCGGCAAGCAGACGCATTGGTCGGGCAAGCCTGTCCACCTTAGTCATATCCTTGGATATAGTGGTAGAAGGAGAAAAAAATACTCTATGTCTTCACCATGATGTCATATAGCTACACACACACACACACACACACACACACACACACACACACACACACACACACATAAGCAGACTAGTAATACATCTCTGAAAATTAAAAACATCCTTAGTACAACATCTATTCCTTGTAGCCTATTACCCAAATCTCATATTTTCTCCTTAAAATGTACAAAAGTAGGAAAAAAGAATGCTATTTTTTTTTTACGTTTAATTATAACCTATCATTTATAGATTAAATTACAATTAGAGAAAATTCTTTTTTTAAAAAAAATAAAGTATACGGTGACATGAAACTCTTTATATTTACGTGAATACCGTTTTTCAGTTCTCAGTTATAGGGTGGAAATACCGGTTTGCCAAGAACTAAGGGATTTCCTAGCATGAGGCATCAGGAGAAAATGTGGACTCCGGAAAGTCCGGGCAAACCCAGATATTACTCACCTTATCTACACCCCGTTAAACATAAGCTCCCATGGATAAAAAAAGTGAGCAAATCATGAGAAATCCCATCTTTCAATATGAATTTTAGTAATAGTGTTAACCTTTGCACACGCTTTGTGCAGGTCACCACTGAAGCAAGTCACTCACTGTGGCATTTGGTTTGTTCTACTTGCAAATGAATTCCCATAAAAAATAATTTAATATGCACAGATTCATGATAAACATCATCGCTAATTTTTAAACAACTTCCATTCATTCAAAAGCACAGGAAACATGTTGCATGCCCTGGAAGCCCACTCCATCATACTTACCTTCTTCTAAGGTTTTGGCAAATTTGATTTCACTGTCTGCTCCTTGAAACTCATTAAAAAATGGGCGAGCCTTAATCTCATAGTTGACGCCTTTTCTGAGATCAGGGATCACCACACTATTTTTGGTTGGGGTCCTCACTTCAAAAACTAACCACTCAGATTCACCATGGCTGGATCCAGATGGCCGATAGAGAATTTTATATCCTTGAATATATTGAGATTGCTGGTCCACCTATTACAAGGAGGAATAAAAATGGAGTTAGTCACACCACTTTACTGTTTGGCTGCAAAGTAATAAAAATGCAACAAGTAGAAAAAAAATAACCAATGGGATCCCACAGTGTGGATTTCTAGTGCTTTGCTGTAAGGAAGCATTAGTTCCTATGACAATATTATAATATGTTTCAGCAGAAGCATGAGGTTTCCCTATGGGTGGCACATTATATAAGAGACATGTGGGCATTTTAGAGAAGGTGTTGTTTTTCCATTTTGGTTTTGAAAACGTACTAGGATGAAGTTGGAAGTGGACGGGAGGGTGGAGGTGGATCTAAAAAGCATGAGGGGAAGGGGTAGGGGGTGAATATGACCAAAAATACATTATATATGTATGCATAAAATTCTCAAAGAATGAATAAAAATATATTTTAAAAATTTGCTCAATACTACTTGGAAGTATTTCTAAATTAAAAAAAGAAGTATGTGGCAATGTGCATGTCACATGTCATACATTCAAATACTTTGTGATTCTATCCCTTGACACTGGCAGGGATACATAAATACATACATACATATATATATATATATATATATATATATATATATATATATATATATATGGATATATGGGCAGATCATAGGCACTAGAATAAACGGGGTTTGCATAATAGAATTAACGTTGGTGTGGAACTGAAAAACAGTGATGTGAATTCCCTCTGTATCATCATCTCACAGGAATCACCTGACTATTGAAAACAATACAAATGTTACAACTCACTGTCCAGTGTACTTCCACTGATGAAGAAGAAAGGATGGTGGGGTTGTGGAGGTGCAAGACGACATTCCCCAGCTCTCTCTGGACCTGCTTGTGGTCCACCCCTTGACTGGTTGGTGGGACATCTGCAACAATTCAAGAACACTGTCAGGCCCTAAGCAGTGCTACTGCACCCACAATAACACCCGGAAAAGGAGAATCAGCGAACTGTGAAGGCAGCCTGAATATAAAGAAAAATCAGCACAACTTACTCTCTCTCTCTCTCTCTCTCTCTCTCTCTCTCTCTCTCTCTCTCTCTCTCTCTGTGTGTGTGTGTGTGTGTGTGTGTGTGTGTGTGTGTGTGTGTATACATACGCATAAATCTTCAGGGCCCGAGAAGGACATCAGGTGTTCTGCTTTATCATTCTGCCTTATTGCCTTGAGACAGGGTCTCTCGATGGATCTGGAACTAGGCTGACAGCCAGCAAAACCCACCAATGAGCCTCATGCCTCTGCCCCATTCCCCATAGCACTGGTATTACAGGACGATGTGGTCACGGTTGAGTTTTTTTATGTGGATGCTGGGATTCAAAGGCAGGTCCCCACGCTTTCGAGCAAGGCCTCTTAGCTCCTGAGCCATCTCTCCACCCATTACAGCTTAACCTTTTTATAAGGATCAGGAGAAGAGAAACAAAGAAGGAGTGTGTGTGTGTGTGTGTGGGGGGGGGAGGTATGTCAGAACGAGCAGAAAACCTGTGTAAGCCGAAAAGGGCAGGAGGCAAAGATAACAGTGGTAAACAGTAATTTTTAAGAGAGCCTCCTACCATGTAATGACCATTTTACTGCTGAGCAGCGGAGCTCTGGGGCAATTCTCTCCGAGTGTGATACACCCCGCTGCAATGATCCTAACTACACAAGAAAGAGAAGAATGGGGAGATGCAGTGGAGAGGTTGGGGAATGAAAAGCTCGCAAACACAGGAAGGAAAAATCGAGGGCAGAAGGCAGCTGAGCAGCACATCTCCTAGCAGGAACCCGGACATTTTGCCAGCTAAAGTAGACAGCAGTAACTGGCTATACAGCAAGGGACCGAGGAGCTACAGTTACGGTCTGATAAAATAAATCTGATTAGATCTGGGAGATAAGAGAACTTACCATCATTTAATTGACATTGGTTTAGTTTACCATATTACATGGAGGATTTAATCATTTCTTCTCAGTCTCGTGAATACTAAAATATTCGAGAGGAGACCAGGGGCGCAGTAAGAATCAAACAGCCACTAGTGTCCTTTATGTTATACTATTTTGGGGAACATGGAACTGTTCCCCCAAATTTGCTCGACTCCATCCTCAACAAAAATTGCCCACTGTTGTAGAGGCTTTCTAAAGCACAGCTGTGTTTCTCTGTTTCAAGTAGTAAAAGGAATGCATCTTGAAGAACAACAACAACAACAGAAAAGATTTCGGGGAACTGCAGGACCATTTATAGACTATCATATTGTCACACACACACATCTAGATGTGTTGCCCACCTATCCAAAAAGAAAACGAAAGTTTCCATTTGCTCAATAATTAAATGCTGCCTGTCACAGGATAAGAAGCAAAACCATGAAGGTTTACATGAGATTTGTGACTCTCTCTGGCAGAGGCCAGAGCACCAAGGTGGATGGAAGAGTTGACAGGTCAACCGTTATTAAACATCGATGCCATCTGGCTGGCTGGGAGCCCTGCCTAAAAATTAAGCATAGGAATAAGCAAAATGGCTGGGCATGGCGGCCCATGCCTTTAATCCCAGCACTTGGAAGGCAGAGGCAAATGGATCTCTGTGAGTTCGAGGCCAGCCTGGTCTATGTAGTTAGTTCAGGACAGTCAAACCTACATAGTGAGACTCGATCTTGAAAAAAAAAAAAAACAGAAACATATATATAAATAAATAAATAAATTTTTTTTTTTTTTTTTTTAAAAAGGACAGGGTTTCTGTGTATAATAGCTCTGGCTGCCCTGGAACTGGCTTTGTAGACCAGGCTGGCCTCGAACTCATAGAACTCGAACTCTGCCTCTGGAGTGCTGAGATTAAAGGTGTGCACCACCATCACCTAGATAGACTAGGATAGTTCCTGACCCTACATTTTCCACATTTTCCTGTACTGCTGTCCAGTGCTGACCTACAGCATACCTAGAATCACAGCCTCGAGAGAAAACACTTAGCAGTTACTTGGCCAGCTCAGGTACATCATCTTGTCTCTCTGCTCCCCATTGCTACTCTGGATTTAGCTACCAACTCTAAGGCAAGAAGGAAGCAGTTGGAACAGGAAAAGTTAGACACCAAACCTGGGTTTGGACGAACACCTTCCCCTGGGCAACCGAAGCTCATGTAACTTTGGGAAGATAACTTCCTCCCATCACTCCAAGCCAGGGCTTTAGAGTAGACTGGAACTCTCCTGCTGAGGCCCACCCCTAACTGCAAGGGAGATTACTTAACCTTAGTTCCTTATATGTCACAGAATGACTAGCAGCAAACATGGTTTCTCATGAGGACTGGTAAAAGAAATGGATTGTGGTAAGGCACGAAAGGCATTTTATGGTTAGGCAGAGGTCAGGCCTATGATAATGGACTCAGAGTCCCTAACTAGGACACATTATGTCTTCAGTTTATAACCAGTTGCCTCATAGGAAAGCTCCCATACTCAAAGCATCACTGGCATTTCAGAAAGTATGACCAAATACAAAAATAACCATTTTTCAAATGGTTGGTGTGGTGGTTGGAAGAAGAATGGCTCCCATAGGCTCATATATTTGAATGCTTAGTCACCAGGGAGTGGAACTGTTTGGGAAGGATTAGAGGAGGTGTAGCCTTGACAGAGGAGATGTGGCCTCGTTGGAGGTGTGTCATGGGGGGGTTGGTGGACTTTGAGGTTACAAAAGCCCATGCTTTTTGAAAGATCAGGCCCAGTGTCTCCCGCTTTGCTGCCCATGGAGCAGGATATAAAGTTCTTAGCTACTGCTCCAATGCTAAACCTGTCTGCTTTCTACCATGATGACAACCACTAACTAACCATCTAAAACTGGAAGCCAGCCCCCAACTAACTGCTTTCTTTTATGAGTTCCCTTGGCTATGGTGTCTCTTCACAGCAACAGAACACATACTAACACAGTCAGGCACCATGATTTGTGCCCGATCCCTTAATTTCTTTGATTTAAAACAAACCTGCCAATCTACCCCTTCAGGAAAATGGGATTGCCCAACCAAGTGTTATCATTTTGCAATAGCAATTTATACTATTGTTGTAGAACATTATGTATCAGAAAGAAAATGGGAAAGTGACATCTAATAATGTATTTTTGAGATGCATGTGAATCGGTCCCCTAAATGCATGATATTGTAAGTGCTCTTTGTCAACATTCAGAGATATACTCAGAACAAACATTAGATATTTCTCAATCTAATTCCGAGTCCAGTATATAGCCCCCTATGTGATTGTTGAGGGAGGACTGTCCAGGGAGCACTCACTGTGTATAATAACTAGTATGTTCCTTTTGAAAATTTTCCTTGTGCATGTGTGTGGGTGTGTGCATACGCAGCTGGGTATGTGTTTGTGTGTAGGTACCCATGCATTAAGTGTGTGGAGGTAGGGAGTGAGCCTCACATGTTGGTTCTCAGGCACCATCCACTTTATTTTTTGAGCCAGTATCTTTCCCTGGGAGCTGGGGCTCACCAATGTGGCTAGGCAGGCAGGCAGTAAGCCTCAAGGGTCTTCCTGTGTGCCTCCTCAGTGCTGGTATTACATGGATGCCAAGGGCTGAACTCAGGTCCTTGAGCAGGACATACTTTATCTATTGATATTTCTTCCCAGGCCCATAACTGGTATTTTCTGATGAATCCTACATGCATACTGTAATATTCTATATATGTTTCCATTAAAAGTTAAGTTAAGAATTGTTCAATGTTAAGGCTTATGGTATCAGAATAGTACCCAAAGTGGTATTCTATCCCAACACAAACTATATAATCCCTGTCTTGTACCCACACAGCTGATATTCCCTGCAGGATTGAATTTTGCCAGGTTCATTCCCATGCCATTATCCTGAGGTAGGCTAGACTGTGTCTCAAAAGCAGGCCAAGATCTAAATAATGAAATGGGACTTAGTTACTTTCCCCAATTTGTCCTTTTCTGTTTGGAGTGAGAGAAAGCATGCCTTCCACACCACAGTCACCCACAACGGTAAGGGAGGGATCTCATACTCTTCATATGTTTTTGGTTTTGGCTTAGCCATATCAAGACTCTTGAATTTCTTTTACTAGAATTGATTTTCAGCTCTTCATCCAGTTCTATCAACCACTCTACCAACTATTATCACTGGTCTTCCCATAGGAGACTGAAGAGTCAGGGCTGGGGTAAAGCGCAGCTTGGTGGTAAGACACTACCATGTGAATATGAGGCCCTGGGTTTGAGTCATACCATCTTTCCAACCAAAATAAAAGAAAAGCTCTTAAAAGTCCATCTGAAAATGTAGTGCTCACAGACAACATATTACATAATTCATGATCCAACCAATTCAAAATCAAGGGGTAAGGATGACCAGATTCAGACACGATTCTGAAAATCCCAGTAAGGATGAATTTTGTTCACTTGACAAGCACATCACGCAGTGACCTCAGACAGATCTCACAGCTAATTTCAACTGGAGTCTGCGCACTTCACTAAACCCTGACACACACCCCCTCCTTGAGCTGGTCTGCTTGTTCCAGCCTTTTATAGTTAATTTTTCAAACCACAATTCAAGTACCAGATTTTTTACTTTGCTCTATTAATTTTAATCTTGTTAGTGCTGGCTCATCATTCCAAGCTGTCAAGATATATTTAATTGATTCTCTCATTTGGCAAACTTGCTACTTTTCATAGTGATATGATAGCAGAATTTTCTATGAATCTTCTTTATTCTTGTTTTAGACACTGAATGAAGCACAGGTTTGCTATGACATTAGACAGAAAAAATACCTTGCATGCATTATTACTTGTTAGTTAATAATCTCTGTCAACTCTGGAGAAGTGAGTTCATTTAGCTTCATTTTATACCCAAGGAGACGGGATGCTCAGGCGTGACCAACTTGCTAAGAGCCACACAGCTAGACTGAGGAGATGAGATGAAAATATTTATTTCAAAATGGCATGCGTATTTCCCTAGAAAGTCAGTCTCCAGGTGACACAGATTCATTTTATCATGCTGTTTTACTAGCTACGTGTCTGAAGGAGGCTATTTCAACCCAACTAAGAGGAAAACATGATGTTCATGTGGATATGTGGATAAAACATAGGAACAATATCCTCATTTACAAATGAGTACGTGAGACTAGCATTAAGTCTGCTATCAACACTTTCATCTAGGTTGAGTGGATAGAGACTCTTCTATGCGGACAAGAGTTTAAATTCACTTAGAAGCTGCTGGAGTTTCTACGTTCTTTACACATGCATCTAGTACTGCAAACCTCACACTGTTTCAAGGCAGGCTCCGAGTACATTAAGGCTCCCAAGCAGGTGACTCACAATAGCAAATATGCCTAGGCATCTGGGTGTGTTGATTTCATGCACGAGGAACAGACATGGACATGTTCTGCAATTCAGCTGACTTTCTCTGTGAGTTCTAAAGCAAAACGTCCTTCTTAAAAGACTGCTTAGCTGTACCCTAGGAGTAGCCAGAACATGTGACATGGCTGTCGTCTGTCCTCCTGTACCAGGAAGAAAGCAGTTTGAGTCTTTTAGGCACTTTGTGAACAACTTGCTTCTCTCCTCATATATAACTAGTCCGCAGTTTTTCCTTTGGAAATGTTAACTCAGAGTCAGTGCTTCTGTGTGTGGGGAAATCATTCTCCAGTTCCAATCGCCTTACTAAGATAAGAGCCAGCGTATTTTTAATTATGATGACATTAAGTTTAAGGAAAAGGTAATGGTTGGCTCAAATAAGTGTGCATTTTCCTTCTATAAGAATTCTAAAATAATAGAATGAGTAAGAGGGGAGACAGGGAATATAACCTGTCAAAAGAGGAAAATAATGTCAATCCACAAAAGATGAAAAGTAACATATGGAAAAGAAAATCCCAACGAGTAACACTTCAGGCTCTGCATGTGTTGAAACAGATAGTAGATGCTTCCTGTCTTGGTCTCTCACTTCCATCCAGTTTCCATCAAAATAGGTGTTATTTTCCACGGGGATGTTTCATGTCATGCCTCATGCAGTGAGCATCAGAGTTCAGAACAACTAAAGACTCCAACGATTTACTCTTGTGGCTTGCAGGAGATTGGTTACAAAGAGGCATGAAGACCAAGTTTCTCATAGTTACCCTACTTCAGTGTGATTTTCACAGGACATGCAACCACTAGGGTGGGAATTCTGAAAGATTATCTTGGAGGTTATGTGGGCTGAATTTTGGCACCGACAAATTTACTCAGTTTTAACTACAATTGTAATAGGGTTAAGATATTAGACTTTTAAAATTTACAAAATGGTAAAGAATATACACATAGCCACAGGGTATTTTTAGTGGATTTGTCATCTTATGAGAGACAATTCCATATGTTATCAATCTTGATAGCCTCAGTCCAGAAAAATATAGTTTGTAGACATTGCATTGTATAGTAAAAAAAAAAAAAGGAACAGTTGGCAAATGTGCACTCTAAGCATGTAACACGCATCACGCCAGTATAATTATAACATCTAAGGCTAAGTAGGTATTTCAAGTTTCAGTCCATCAATATTTACCTTGTGTTTTCACTGGATCTGATATTTGGCTTGGATCACTAATCCCATATGCATTAGCTGCCCTCACCAGGAAAAGGTATATTGCATTAGGTTTGAGTCCTTTGATGGCAAATGTTTCTGTTTTCACATTTTCTGCCACAGTCTGCCAGCTGCTACCTGATGCATGGCTAAGGAAGGATACATACGTTAGAACAAGAACACTGGATGCAACAACAACAGCAAAAAGAGGAAGAAAAAAGAAAGAGAGAGAAAAGAAGGAAGGAAGGAAGAAAGAAAAAAGAAAGGAGGGAAGGAAGAAATAAATAAATAAATAAATAAATAAAGAAAGAAAGAAAGAAAGAAAGAAAGAAAGAAAGAAAGAAAGAAAGAGAAAGAAAAGAAAAAAAGAGCATGCAAGAAATCCCCCTCTCTTTACCTGAAGGCTTCTATAATATAAGACGTTGGGGTTGCTCCTGAGTTCAAGTTTGGCTGCCACGATAAAGTTACTGTGTTTTTGCTGACATCTGTGACTTCAGGCTTTGAGGGGGCGCTGGGGATTAAATTGGGGTCGGTGGGTCTTGGAGGTTGAACTGGAACTCCAAACTCTAGCAGGTGTGGAGGGAGGAACACAAACATTTACACATACACAAATTGGCACATGAACGTAGGTAACACAGTAGCCTGTCCCTCATGGACCAGGCTGTTGGCTTTCGTTACCAAAAGAGCTTCATGACAAAGTGGAGACGTACCCTGTACTTCGATGTAAGCACTCCACGTGGCCTCACCACTGGGGGTTGATGCAGTGCAGGTGTATCGGCCAGTGTCACCCAGCTGTGAAAGCAGATGGAAAAGAAATAGTTGGGACAATCAAGAGCTTGCTGGGCTGGAAAAACAATTACAGGTTTGTATATGGTCCATGAATATGGATAACGACATTAAAATCTGCTAACCAGAACTGTCCCTTGAATTGAATACGTTTTTCTTGAAATGTGGAGGAAAATACTGCATGCATACAGAAATAAACAGCCTTCATATGGTTATCCTAACTGTGCAATGAGAAAAAATATCTGCAATGCTTTAACAGGCTAGGTTTAGCATCAAAGATTAGGGACAAACGAATTATATTGTAACTTCTTAAATGACTCATTCTATCCCGTCTCTTATTATGAAACTTAAGTCAGTCTCAGAGGTAAAAACAAACCCTTGATGGAAAGAACACTCTCTCTTCTGAAAACTGAAGCCTAAAATATAAACCCTGGTTCAACCTAAAACTCAGGAGCGGCATGCTAAAGCCATATACTTCCGCTTAATGGGACAACTCTTCTCTTCAAATACTGTCATCCAGCTCTGGTCACCACAAGAGCAAGGTGCAACAGTTGCTGTGAAGAACTGCAACGTTGTAATCTTTGCAGCACACCAAATCAACTGTGATGTTGATCCCAAACTCCAAAGAAGTCACCCACCACACACAGCCAGGCAACTGAAGTGACTGTTGACTTCAGCCTAATACTGTCCTTTCATATGTCTCAAAAGCCTGACTGATCTAGACCACAAAAGAAAAATCAAAATCAAAACAATGTAAGGACTGATACAAAAGAAAAATCAAAATCAAAACAATACAAGGACTGATGAGAGATGTAGTGTCCCAGAAGGGTAAATCCTTACATTTATGTCCATAAATCAGTGGGCTTCTCATCATTTAGCATTCTTATTCGAAATGTATATTGATTTAGTACATGGCTTTATAAGCCTTATTCATGTGTATGATATTCTGTAATTGCAAAATGCTGAACCAAATAGTCACAACAGAAACACTTCTCAAGTCCACTGTGCATAAAGCAGTACTAGAAAATTTACCTTTCTAGTTAACACTAAAATGCCTTGTATCATACCATATACACGGAACGCATACCACCTCTCAGGTCCCCAGTCACTTTCCTCAAGCATTTTCTTTCACCTCCACGGGACCTTAAATTACTTGCAAATCACCTCAAGCACACACAGTGGCATGTCTAAACAAATGATGCATCACCATAAAATGTGTTTTATTTATTATTTCTTTATTTATTATTTCATACAGGTTATGGTATTTACAACATTAGTTGCTGCCATTAAAAATAAAGCAGAACCAAGCAGGAAGTCCACGATGTCTTTGCAAGTTACCTTAGCGTAGCGGATCTGCAGCATGCCAGTCTCCAGCTGTTTGATCCGAGAATCTTGGGTTGAAACAAGGACTCCATCCTTCCTCCATAGAATTGTGGGCACTGGGCTGCCTGTCGCCACACAGCTGAGGACTAAAGTGCCATCCACTGCTACCGTCTGATTCACGGGACCTTGTCGAATGACTGGGGGAGGCCGGTCTGCAATCACTGCCAAAAGAAACAACAGGAAATAGATTTCTGCAACTGGAAGCAATTTTCTAATCATCTGAGCAACAGCCATAGCTGTAGGCTTTGAAAAAAAAAAAAAAACTAAAGATAATTAAACAAGTAATTAAAGTGGAGACATGCATTATTCAGAATGCATTTGCATGATGCACTGATTAGGAATATTAAAATGAGATACAATGTACGCCTTTCAAATGACCAACTAGGCCTGAGCATGTTGTATTATCTAGGGACTGATCTAAATGCTCAGAAATTGAATAAGAGCTGTAGCTGGTGAAGAAGGGCATAGAGTGGCGAGAATAGAATACTGTAAACATGGGAAAAGCCCAAGAACTAGAAACATTTAACACATTTACCCCATAGAAATGTATGAGGCAGATTTTAATGAATGAATCAAAGCCAGCTTGATTTCATAACTGTTTTGTCTCCAACAACAACCACCGTCACCATGAAATGCCATGCCAGAACGTTTGACAAGTTTGCGTTTAAAAAGGTGCGTTGGACTTTCATTTACAGAATTAAACTTGCTGTCTTTTTTTTATCTCAGAATGGTCTGTCCGTCTGTCTGTCTTTCTTTCCTTCTCCCTCTTTCTCTCTTTGGGATGTATGTGTATGCACGTGTGTGTGTGTGTGTGTGTGTGCGTGTGTGTGTGTGTGTGTGTGTGTGTGTGTGTCCGTGTATGTGGTGTGAGGGCACGTTCACATATGTGCATGGGTGTTCATGCATGTCTATGCCTGTGAGTGCACAGTCCAGAGGTTGATGTGTGATGTCTTCCTATACCGCTCTCTGCCTTATTTACAAGGCGGTCTCTTCCTGAGCCACGGATTTTAGGTTTGGCCAGTCCAGAGAGCCAGTCTGTACTGGGACTCCTCATCTCCTGAACGCTTGGATTACGGGTTCACCACCTCACCCACTCAGTTCCTGTGTTGGTTCTAGGAACATAAACTCCATTCCCCACATTTGTGAAGCAAGTGCTTTATCCACTGAGGAATGTCTCCAGGACTTTGCAATAATTTTTCTACAGAAACATATACATAGCTTAGAAAATAACATCAACACACTATAATGGCTCCAGGAACACTGGAAATTCACCCAATAGCATTGCTGGTAGGCCAACCAAGAAGATAACTGAGGATGATACTCAAACTTGGCAACCGTCATCATCCCATATTAGAATGAACACAAATGGCAAACACACTCAGTCAATACTGTTTGTTTGTTTTTAATTGAAAATAGACTTTTCCCATACAATACACTCAGCTCACAATTTCCCCTTCTTCGTCTCTTCCAGATCCTCCCCACCTTCCCAGCTACACAACCCCATGCCTTCTTTCTCTCTTGCTTTAAAAAACAAATAGGCAAAAGGAAGACAAACCAGGAGAGCGCAAAACAAACAGAGAAAATGAAAAAGCACAAGAAGCGTATGCACACACAGACACACCACACAGAAAGCCCAAGACTGCTTTCAATACTAACTTTAATCGACTTTGAAAAAGGACCAATGAAAGGATTTTTATTATAAGTAAATAACATTATCATACAATATAAAACACCTGAAGGCCGGGCGGTGGTGGCGCACGCCTTTAATCCCAGCACTCGAGAGGCAGAGCCAGGCGGATCTCTGTGAGTTCGAGGCCAGCCTGGTCTCCAAAGCGAGTTCCAGGAAAGGCGCAAAGCTACACAGAGAAACCCTGTCTCAAAAAACCAAAAAAAAAAAAAAAAAAAAAAAAACAAACAAACAAAAAAAAACAACCAAAACACCTGAAGAATTCTATGCCTTAACTCCACTATTTTCATGAGAATCTAACACAAGTACAGAGGAAGAAGGGACAAAATTAGAAAAAATGTTCCCATCTCTTGACTGAAGGAGCTTATCAACCTCCACTGATTTCTCTAAAATGAATAAAAGTTGTTTGTTTAATTTCAGGAAATTGTCTTCAATTATGCAGCTTTAAAACCCTGGATCTCTTAAAAATCCTGGATCTCAAAGTTTAAAAAAGAAAGAGATGCAAATATATGAGAGAGAATTCTAACAAGTTGTCTGATTAAAGGGCCTGGCTGCCAGAGGAACTAAATTTTGGATGCAATAATTTGCGAATCTGGATGTGTCATGTTCAAAGTTTTTATGCACCAAGGATTTTCACAAGCTGGAGTCGCACTTCAATTTGTTCCTCGTTTATCATGCAATAATTATTAGTTTTATGCGCTCACATTAAAAAGGCAATTAAGGGAAATCAGCAACTATGCATTGCATTTCAGGCTTCCAATTCTCTTGCATGCCATCCTTACTGGGGGGGAAGTTTGCCAGTAGCACGGGGAAATGAGAAGGCTGGAGTTTGAACCTTGGCAGGAGTGTTTTAGGTACCACGCTGTTGCAAAATGTAAGCCAACAATTCCTTTGCTTAGAATTTTAAACATCATCCCTGTTATTATCTGTGGAGGCTTGCGAAAATCCAATTGCAGACTTCTCCTGGTCAATCCACTGGGGATTTATAAGAGCACCTGTGTTCCACTGATTATCTGAATGAATATATATTTCCAGGCATTAATTGAATTAGCAACAGAGGGCTTCACTCCAACTGATTATCATTATGTCTAGTACTAGAATGGCTTATATTCAGTAGTCTTGTTATATTTAGAAGGCATCAAATGTCAGGCTCTATTATAATTTATATCTAATTACTCAGAGCTGCTTTATACGGTATCAAGGGTGTCTCACCAATTCTATCCAGGTCACCGATGGTTTCTCTGGCTCTGCCTCTTATTTCTGCATGATTTCTACTGGGCAGTTAACAAGAAGAAAGCAAGGAAAAGACACTTCCATCATCTGCCAGATGTCTTTCGGTTAGTTCTTTATATTCTCTAATCCCACTTTTTTGTGTATGTTGTTGTTTGCTTGTGTCTGGGTGAGGTATGTATGCATGTCCATGCATGAGCATGTCCATGCAAGCTCATGGAGACCAAAGGTTGAGTCTGGTCTTTTTCCTCATTGCTCTCCATTTTCCTTATTGAGTTAAGGTGTCTGGTTGAACCAGGAGCACTACCATAGAAGCTAGTCTAGGTACTCAACTTAAACCAGGGATCCTGTGTTACTGCCTCCTGAGTGCTGGCATTACAGGTGGCTTTGGCCCACACTCTGCTCCTCACATTTGCAGAGTCGCTTTATGCACTGAGCCCTCTCTCCCAACTTCTAGACATTTTTACACCCATAAAATGAGGACACTAACAGTTGTTCAAACTAGCTTAGGAGATCTCAATGGGTACTGAGATGAAATAGCCATCATGAATGTGCTTCAGGTCATTGCAAAAGGCCAGACATTCACATGCACTACACCGTGTCAGCTGCCCTTGTTTGACAAAAGCTAATATGGAAATCAGAACTGAAAAATGTAGGACGTCCTTAAAGCACCTGCACACTTTTAGGTACAGAAAATAAAACTGTGATGTTTTCATCAATGGGTATAAAATATAAGGAAATGCTTCTGTTTATATCAACAAATATGGTCCATTTATAAGTAAAGTTGAAACTGACCATTTGTAAGACAAATTTCAAACCAGTCTAATATGCTACAGTGGAATTATAAGGAAGAAATATTAGGCAATAGAATAGAGAGTGTAAGAAACAGGTATGTTTAATGAAATGAATACATACATCAATTTTCAGTAAAAACCATACAGCTACTGCCTGGTTCACCTAAAAAATTCACAACTGTGTATCAATGAACATCAAAATAAACAACTGTAATCTATCTGCAAGTGCTCTAAAGAGCTGTATATTCAAATGTAAGATTTAGGATATAAAGTATATCATCGTCCCCTTCCAGGAATCAGGGACTGAAACTCTGAAGTTCAAGTGGCTTGTCTAAATCGAAAAGGAACTGGAGAACAGTCCCTTTGTACTATATACCAGGTTTATCAGAGATGAAGACAAGCTGTTTTAAATAGCGTTTATTGCTTAGTCATTTTTATTTCTCTTATAATCTAGTGGGAGGCAGTTAAAATGCACACATTTTGTAGTCAGCGTTAGTAAGGCTGAACCACAGGTACAGGCCCCATTCCACAGACAGCTGCTACTCCCATGCCTTATGTTTTATTCCGCCTTTGCCTTTATTGTGTTTGCCAACAACACAGAAGGTCAAGAAGATAAAGTCAAATAATACGGAGAACACACACACTCTCTACGAGCCACCAGGCTGACAGAGTGGGCAGTATAAAAATATTGACATTGCCAAGGACTCACTATGACAAGTCTATGGATGTTTGAATAATATCAAAGAACTCCAAAAACAAAACAAGACAAACACACCGAAAGACTAAACTAAAATACAGCATAAAAACAACAGGAGAAATAGACCCTCAGCGATACATACATACAAACTCCACATTAAACCTCAAAAAATTATAAAGTTGAACAAGATATTTACTGCAGAGAATAGATTGGCTTCTAGGGATGGATTTTTTTTTTTTAATTCGAGATCTATTTATTTTATTTTGTGTGTACGAATGTTTGCTTGCATGTATGTTTATACCCCTCTTACATGTCTGGTCGCTACTCAGGCCAGCAGAGGGTTCTAGGTGCTCTGGAACGGGGGTTCTAGACAGTTGTGGGCCACTATGTGGGTGCTGGGGACTGAACCTGGGTCTTCCATAAAAGCACCAAGTGCTGAGCTTACAAACCTGTGCCCCTGCCTGGCTTTTTGTGCGAGTTTGGGGGGATCCAAACTCAGATCCATGGGCTTGTACAGTGCACTGTTTGTAGAGGGAGCCATTTTCCCAGCCTAAAAACTCTTTATTTTTAATTCTGAGAATAGAGATATTGGGGAGAAGTTCAGCAGTTTTGTTTTGTTTTGTTTTTCTTCTTATTTTAGACAGCACACAAAGATGCAGTTGTAAGCACATATGCAATTTTTTTCAAATTCTACTTTCCATTAGGTGGTCTTCAGAATTATGATCTAATGGCTATAATGTGCAATATGTACCACAGACACATTTTAGGTCCTTCTGAATCACTAAAGCCAGGGGACATATAGTATGTATCATAGGCAAGGGTAAGAAACTGAATTTTTTGACCGAGACAATTCTGGTTTTGAAGTCTCACTAACCAAGCACTAGCTCCTCCTTGGTTGTTTCTTCTCAACATTTGAGACTGTCTACTGAGCATTTATCACATTAGATCTGGGGTGGACACTTGGCAAACACTGACTAGACTAAACAGAAAATGGTTCAACTGTGCTGGAACTTGGATTGTAATGAATGACAGAGGAACACAAGATAAAAGAAGCCACATACACACACACACACACAAAAGGATGGAATAAATCCGTGTACAGATGGCAGGTATGGGGGCACAGGACTCAGGTTTGGTGGGTCGGGGCAAAGTCCTTGCAGAACGTGAAAGTCAAGTTGGTGTAAATGTGCACCAAGGAAAGACACACAAGCAGTATGACACAGTGAATCATGCACGCAGCATGGTAATCAGAACAGACGGCTGAATGTCAGACATGTCAGCTGTGCAGCACGTTCAAGGACAATAAACATCCAGAGACCTCCAGCCTAGTCTTCTTAAAAAAAAAAAAAAAAAACAAAAAAAAAACAAAAAAAACTGTCCTGAAGAAAACTGCCAAGCCCAACGTTATCTCCAAAATTCCAACTCAACACTGCACTGTGGAAACATGAATGTTTTCCTTTGAAGTTAGAATTAAGAAGGATATGTCCACTGTTCCAACAGTTCTACTCACGACACAGACAAGGAGGACATGAAAGGAAGACAAAGGGCAGCACAATATCTATTCATTTATACATAAACTATGTATGTCATTAGTATGTATTTTCTATATAGACAGAATAAGAAGTCAGGTTATTTTTATTTTCAGTTGCTACATTTCTGTACATAAGTATTTCAGAATACTTTACCTAAAAACAAATTAGAAAAATTAAAGGAATTTATCAAGGTTGCTTGACGAAAAGTCAATACACAGAAATGAATGGCAGAATTAAGCACTTTTCTCGAATAATTCAATAATGAAAAATTTAAATTCATCTACAGACACATCAAAAAACTTAGGTATAACTGAAAAGTATAGGCAAAAATTAAATTCCCAAAAAATAGACATTATTGAGAGATACTGAAGAAAATCTGAATACATTGAGAGATATATGGAATAAACATTTCTCTGAGTTGAAAACTTCAGATTATTAAAAAAAAAAGTAAAAAGCCTTACAGCTTTGTTTGTGTAGGGTATGGATTCTTATGTGGAGGTTTTAACCAATTTAGCAAAACTAAAATAAGGAATTCAAAGTTGGAGACTTACATCCATCTTGAAGCCTTATTATAAGTTACAATAACCAAGTCTATATGAAATGAAGTAAACAGATCCATGGAAGAGAATACAGACACAGACCACGTATTGTCCAGGAATCTATGCTCATTTGAATTTAAATAAAATGGCAGTGTGGTTAAACATGAAAAGCATGGTCTTTTCTAGAAATTATGATGGAACCACTACTTGGTGTGCATTTGAATCCTAGCAGGGGGAAGCAGAGTAGTAGGATCTGGGGAGCTCCCTAGGCATCCAGCCTAGTCCGTTGGGCCAGTTCTTGGTCAGTGAAAGATTCTGTCTCAAAAACAAGTAGAAGGCACTTGAATAAGGACACCTGAAGCTGTCTGTGGCCTTCACCTGCATCACCTCCATCCATACAAAGGAACACAAAAAATACACAAACAGCACAGTCAACTAGGGTGAAGCAATAGCCGGCATCTTTTATTTCTGACTCTTCCTGTATTCTGGTCCCATTTTTCTCCTTGAAAGACATGAAGTGCTTACCTTTTATGGTCCTCTATCTACTGCTTGAAATCAAAAATGTAAAATAATTCCAATTTTTCAAATGAATCCAGTATTGAAAACAGGCATGTCACTGTAATTTCAAAGCCTTCTGCAGTAATGCCTTCTTGATTTTACACACACACACACACACACACACACACACACACACACACGCACACACACAAATATACTACATATATTATGTATATTGCGTACATGTTATATACATATAAATATATTTTTAAATATCTAAAATATATTTATTTACTATATGTATAGGTATCTTGCCATGTAAGATAAATACATACACATACATATCTATTTCACATATTTATAGGCATTTTCCTTTGATGAAATAGATATTTAATAAACTAAAATCTTACATCATAAATGTACATATATATGTGCACATGTTTAAATATATGTTTCCAAGCAATTTTTATCTCCTTCCATCTTTTCAAAACACCACTACTTGAATTTTACAGGTTAGAGATTTTTCTCAACTGCCATGTCTTTATATTTGGCAGCAGCTGACCATGTTTAAGGAACTGATAAACAGAACAAATCAGACTATCAATAAAAAGTATCATATTGTTATTTATCAGATTCTGGATTCTCATTATCTCAATAAATTGAGATAGATATGATATGCGGGATATACATCACTTTCCTGAGTCGAAAACTAGATGATTCAGAATCAAAATAAAAAAAACTTACAGCTTCATAAGTCCTTGTTCTTATTTTTCTGAAGGAGAGACAATAGTAGAAATGGGGATTTATAGTAAAAGATTGCAAAGTGACTTCGTCTTGCTTTTTATGTGTCTAAAACACGAACACTTTCCTATGTTCAGCTCTTCAGAATAAACTTATTCCTGGGGAACTCTGCTTTCAGGAATCAGAACAGATGATAGAGAAGTACAGTATGTATTAAAGAACAATATAGTCCCCATCATGTGGTGATGTTTTATTTGTGCTGAAGTGTGGTGATATTTTATTTGTGCTTTAATAAATAAAGCTTGCCTGGAGATCAGAGGAAACAGCAAGCCATTTTAAGTAAACAAAGAAGTCAGGCAGGGGTAGCACATGCCCTTAATCCTATCAGTTGGCAGGCAGGGTCTCTGTGTGTTCAAGGCCACACTGGCAACAGAGCCAGGTGTGGTGGCACACGCCTTAATTCCAACACTACTTAACCACAGAGGTCTGAAGTTCTGTACAGACAGACAGAAAGTGGCAGAGCTGAGCAGGAAGAAGAAATGATGGAGCTGGGCTAAGAGCGCCAACGAGAGAACAGAAGAGAAAAGGCTTATAAATGTGAGTATTCAGGAAGAAGCTCTCTTTGGAAGCTGTGGAGTTGCTGAGGTGAGGTTAGCTCATGGTTTGTCCTATTCCTCTGATCTTTCTCAGGCTTTAACCCAAATTTCTGGCTCTGTGTTTTTTTATTTATTAAGACCGTTTTGAAATTTGTCTATACTGTCGTATCGACACCCTCTGTACTTTACACCAAAAGAACTGTAAGAACGAAGGTGAAGTTTGCATGAGAACATCCACAGGCTCTCTTAGAAGGTAATTTGGGTATTTCGAAAGAAAACGTTTTACTTTACCATCAGTCACTTCCAAATATGCCTTTGTGATGATACTTCCAGCAACATTTAAAGTCTGACAGATATAGTAACCAACATCAGACCGCTGCACATTAGTAATAGTGAGGTCCCCAGTCTGGGACACTGAAAACCGGCTGGTTGACTGTGGTGGCTGGTACGAGAAAAGCAGATTCTAAAACCAGAATTTGGGAGGAAAGAATAGAAACAGGTTAACAGCCAGGTTCTAATATTTTGGCACAGTTACATGTACATTTGTAAATATATGTATAAACATATACATATATCTATAAACTAAATATTCTTCCACCACAAATCCATATATATTGATGTGCACATGTATTAATACATATTATTAAACACAGTTTAATAATACAAAGCTAGATGGAGTTATATGAAAAATGTTAAAATTCTCAATATCAATGTGCATTTTTATAACCATCAGTTTGAACACATAAGAAGACCAAATATATTTATGCAAACTACAACAACTTTATATTACATATAAATGGCTAAGAGTGTTATTAACTCTAACACCTTTAATATATGAACAAAATGAAAATTAAATTCATTCTGATAAACTACGTTCAAGGATGCCATTTTGGCCCCATAACAAGCATTTCTTCCAGCTGTCAGTCACTAGTATTCTGGAACATTTATCAATCACTTAGCCAATCACTGGAACATTTATCAATCACTTAGCCAATCACTGGAACATTTATCAATCACTTAGCCATGGCACTGGAACATTTATCAATCAACTTATGGAGTTTTTGAAATTCATATGGAATTGAATGAATAGATTCAAATTCTTAGAAGTTTGTATTTCATGGTGGTATATCTCAAGAAACAAGGTACACTGAACTTTTCCTGACTGACAAAATTGCTATTGCTTTGTTCTTAAAGTTTTGGTGAGCTCATTTTTGTAAAGAGTTAGCTAAGACTAAACAGGAATTAATGTTCTAGAGAAGTGTTTCTCAACCTTTCTAGTGCTGTGACCCTTTAATACAGTTCCTCACGTGTGATGACCCCCAACCATAAAATTATTTTCACTGCTACTTCATAACTGTAATTTTGCTACTGTTATGAATGGTAATGCAAATATCTGTGTTTTCTAGTGGTCTTAGGTGACCCCTGCGAAAGGGTTATCAAGTCTTAATGACCTTTTTTTTATTCAAAGCAATTTGTACTGTTGAACCAAAATAAACACAAATTTTGGAAATTAATTCAGCCAAACTATCATACTACTAAGAAGGACATCTAGTGGATTATAATTTTTGCTAGAAAGATTTTCTTCCATAATTCCACCCTAGTTCTTCTTGCTCTATTCATTTTTGTCTCCAACTTGTTCTCAGCAAACAATCTTGTGATATCAAATGGAATATGTTGGGGCCCACCAATACATTAGAGTTCAAATGACAACCTACATCCTATAATGTTTGTCAACCAGAGCAGGGTAAAAATAATGAAGTTGGTAGTGTTGCTCATGAAAGTTGGTGGAGTTCCGTCAGTAAGCTATGCTCTTGCTCTTTATATCTCCTTGCCTTTAGAAGTAGAACCCCAAAATCCCCAATACTGAGTCAAGCAGCAGTAAGACAGGCCAAGGAATGACCAAAAATGAGTGAGATTAATTTTTCACAAGTAAAGCATTTCACCTTATTTAAGAAGAAAAATCACAGAGATGAGATTAGAAGAGATTTTAAACTATCCAACTGTTTTTCCATATTAAGCTGAAGCCTGACAAAACAGGTGTTGACATTCAAGAACAGTGTTTCCCAACCTTTCTAATGCTGCCAGCCTTTAATACAGTTCCTCTTGTGGTGGTGACCTCCAACAATAAAATTATTTTCATTTTTACTTCATAACTGTAATTTTGCTATTGTTATGAATTGTAATATAAACATCTATGTTTTCTGGTGGTCTTAGGTGAAAGAGTCATTTGACCCCATGAGAGGTCATGACCCACAGGTTGAGAACTGCTGTTCTGGGTTACGGAATGTTTAGGAGATAGGATCTAATTGTTGGTGATGAGCACACATGACAGTTTTAAAGACTGGAGAGGACTGAACTCTATGGGGCCATGGTATTGATGCTAGAGAGAATTTTCTAGCATCTGGAGCTTCAGAAGATATTTTAGGTTTGAGAGCTCCTGGAGAACTCACACATAATACTCATCATCTCTTTTTCAAATATACTTAAGATTTTTATTCGGATACCCAAATAACAGAAATGACAATTGAATTATATAGAGAGAAGAGACTAGGTTTTATTTAACACAGACGGCTTTGAAATAAAAGGAACATTTACATGGCACAACAGTGACTTATGCACACCTCCCCGTGGACTGAAATAAAAAGGCATAAAATTGGCTCTGAGAATTGAAAAGGGGACAACATTCTCTTCCCTCTTAATTCCAAGCATTTCCAAGGTATCTGACTTCCTCATTTCCTGCTACTCTGATTGTTATCTAATTTCATGATCCTTGGAATTTTTTTCAGAAAGCTAGTTCCCATATTTCTTTAAAAAAAAAAATAGAAAACAGTCATACCTGACTCCCCTCTCGCCTCCAAAAGATAGCCGGTTGAGGGTTGCCAGTGGCTTCACACTGGAAAGTCACAGTTCGTCCCAAGGCAACAACCTGGTCACGAGGCTTCACAACAAAATGGGGAGGCTCTGAAGGAACAAAATACGCTGAATCAGATCATGTCACCGCAGTCCCTCCTCAGTCTCCTGGTGTCTCTAGTTCTGCCTTTATTGTCTACAACACATTATAATAATCAGCCATTTCCCACCCTTCATTTAAAGTAAAATTGCTAAGTGCATATTTATAGGATGAAAGAGAGTCGTATTGTGAAGAGCTTTATTACTTAACCCAGACCTGGAATTAATCCTCACATTGACAAGAATTCTTGAGCTACAAGCTGACCCTTTACATTCAAATCATACCTGAAAATTGTATGAATAAATATTATCTTTTCTCACTTAAAGCTGCTTCAAGGTGAATGAACTCTAATCACACATATACAAGATCTCCTGATACAGGCAGGGACTGAAATTACTTTAATTTACCTCAAAAGCTCCTGCAAGGCTACCATGCAAATTAGAGCCATTTAACATCTTCAGTCCAATTATTTGAATAGAAGCGGATTTCGAGCCACGGTGGAGGCGCATGCCTCCTTCATTTACATGGGCAAGGGCATGTTCAAACAGAATATGTATGGAAATGAGGGGAAATTCGAAACATCTGCTCACCCTGACATGAGAAATACTGCCAGCTTTGTCCAAACTGTTTGATTTATACAGCCTTGAATGGCCACTTCATCCAGCAGTCAATAGAGTGTCAGAAAACTGCGTCAGTTACATTCAGGGCAAATGGCAGCTGAAAGGTAGGTGTGCTGATAGAGAGAGCACGGCCTTGGGTGGGGAACTGAGAGCCTGCTTTAGGGCTGGGCTTTGCACAGAAAAACAGTATGTACTGAGTAAGTCCTTTTACCGAATGTGTACACTTTCCACATCCACTTCTTATCAGCTGTCTGGAAAAGCTAATCATTCCCGCTCAGCTCAGTTCAAGCCAGGCCGCTAACAGCTTACACAGGGCTGGGTTCTTCGAACTGACTGTGCAAGGCCTGGCCCCTACCTGCCATTGTTCCCTTAAAAGTATTTTCAGCTGCTTACGTCAGTCACTGAAGGACACTCCCTAAAGCAAATCTGAATCGAAACTCACATTCAGATTATATCCAGGAATGTTACTGCATTGCTTACAAGAGCAAGGTTCCTTTCCTTTTACAAGCTTTCTTATTAGCATATATGAATTAGACATAATAATAGGGTTTATTCTGACACTTTCGCACATGCATATGATGTGTTTGATCTGATCATGTCTGCCTCCATGAATCTCTGGTCCCCCTCCACTCTTGGTGGCCTGCTTCCTCTTCTCATGTAGAACCTATTCTACATTTATGACTTTGTTTTCTTTCTTTTATTTTATTTATTTATTTTTGGTGAACCAAGGAGAATGATTCTTTTTTTTTTTTAATAAAAAGTATTTGGAAAGACAATTTTCTTCTTCATTATATTTTCAGGTCAATTGTATCTGATGTACCTACGTATGTATAAAAAATACTACATATGTGACAATGACAAAAGTACATCATAAAGGCATATTAAAATCTATTTAATATATGCATCCCTATATACATATAAAATCATAAATATATCAATATAAAAATTCTGTATAAAAGGAAATGTAATGTGATTTGCTCATGGCTAGCATCGTAACAAAAACTGAAGAAAACAATTACGTCTCCTAACTTCTAGATGAATGTATTTTCTTTTATGCTTTTTTTTTAATTGAAGGCTAAGTAGAAACCCTAACAGTTGACTAGTTGACTAGAAAATTATAGGATACCTGCAACATCAGGTCCAATGTTTTCAAATGTCCTCTTACTTACAGAAGATAAAATACAAAGTCAGGAGACAGAGTTGGAGTTCAGTGTGGTCAAACTGAAACTCTAACTTATAATTCTTTGTACAAAACCTGTGATTGTAATTGAGTAGTTGGCTCGAAGGTAGCTAACGCTGTCATTACCCAGGTCTAATAACAGGCATGTGCTGGGTTGCCTGGGAATGTCCCCTCCTGGACCAAGCCAAACAGGAGCTTTTCCCTCCTTAGGTAGGGGTTAGAATAACCGATGCAGAGATGAGACCACGAGACTCAAAACTGACTGAAGAAGAAATGAAATCCAGTCAAGAGTTTGGTTTCTTTCAATGAAGGAAAACCAAATGATTAATTAGATGTGTGGGAGCAGATGACTTTCCAATATGAAGGGAATCCAAGTAGGAAAATATAAATGTTCAAACCACTTAGTCAAGCGAAGCCTTGGGGTGGTCTCCATCCCAACTCTCAGGAGCTCGCCTAGGACTGTGTGCCAGAAATGGTTTCTTTAATAAAATGCCAGCTCTCCTCAAACCTCAAAGACTTATTTGGGAAAAAGGAATACAAACCCTTATGCTAACTACATTTATCCTGAAGCAATCCTTCTACACAGGATATTTGCTTGGAAATGATTCACTATATTCTGTAGGCATAGTCTCAAGCCAACATCAACAGTGACATCAGCCACAAGAGACTTCTTAGAAATAAACTTTAAAAACTTCTCCTCTGACGAGTGTGGTGGCACAAGCCTACAGTACCAGCTACCCAAAGGGAGGTGAAGCATTGCTTGAGACTAAGAGTTTGAAGCCAGAAACACCATGCTTTAAAAAAATAAACACAGAATAAAATCATCTCCCTATGTATGTCAGATGTCAGACATAGTTATATCTTAAGGAAAAAATGGACCAAATATATTTCTATTAATATATATTTATTTAGAATGAAGAGACTCACCAAATACACAGACTTGATGTTTTATGACTATACATTGTAATGGCTTTTGAAATCTAAAATATTTACGTTAGCTGTGTTCAAAGTACCTAATGATGTAACCAGTATAATAATACATTAAGTGCTGTGAATGGTCAAACAAGAAAAAGAAAAACTGCCAATAATTCTACCATGCAAGCTACATAACATTCTTTAATAGTATCATACTAATGTACCATTTTAATACTTTTTGAATAACTGATGTACTATCTTAAATAATTTAATCAATCGCTATTGTTTCAAAATTTTGATTATTTTTTCTCAGTTGTGAATAATAGCTCATGGAGCCAGTGTCTAACATACTCTATTATTGGGTAGCTCATTCTAGCTGCGTGAATATGAAATAATAACATCTGTGTTTCCTTTAACAACAAGGAGAGAGATTCCTTTAAGGTGAAAATGAAGTCTGGTCTGCCTTTTGGGGTGGTAATTTCTCTCGACATGGCATTCTGTCAAATCCACCGAGTGAATCGATCTTCTTCAAAACTAAATGCCAAGAACCTTGATCCTCTTTATTTACAGAAAATAATATAAAAGCAAAACTTGGATATTCCATATGGGTACTTTGTATATGAAATGAAATGAACCTTGTACAGAGAAATAAATGGAAGGGAGCACTAAGAAGCTCCAAGCACAAGGTGACTCAGGAATTGAACTTTAAGGACTCCTGAATGCTAGTTACAAAACAGTCCATCAGTGGGATCTTATGAAACAAAGAAAGCCAAATCATTCTCATAGCATGTCTTTCTGTTCATTTGATGATACAGAGACATAAAATGATATTGTCCTTCACCAAGACACAATCTTATGACTTATCCCTTAGTTCAGGAGGGAAGAAATTACATGACTTAATAAGACCGAAAGTTAGCAAACCCATTACCTTTACTCTGTGTCACAGTTACCCATACTTCCTGCAGATTTATTCTGTGCAGTCTGTCTTTGTGGCCAATGACAAGTGAAACATGGAGGCTGATTGGTTGAAGGACATGGAAGGGTATGGATGGAAAGGGGAAGAGAAGTTCCAGTCACAGTGACACGGTGATTAGAAGATGGCCAATAAAATGTCAACTTACCAGACCCAACTAAAATAAAAAAAAAGAAAACATGGAATAAATAAAAATAAGGAAACAAACAAAAAAATGAAACAGAAAAAGTAGTAAGATTTGACTTAACAATGATTCTCCTTTAACATAAAGAACACATTAATATTTAGATACACTGGTCACACTGTCCATGAATGAATATTTGTTAGCAGTTCAAGCACAATCATGAATAACTTAGGAAAATAGAAATGAATCTTGAAATATCTACTATGAAAAAATGGTAGCGCTACAATGGATTGACAGTTATAACATTATAAAGCATCTTTCAACGATTTTATGTTTTGCCACCAGGTGACACATTCTTTATGTAATGGATTTTTAAAAATATTATAAATACTAGCTGCTAATACTACACTAAAATAGAATAAGCATCCTTTTAAAGACAAAGAATGTTAAATTCCAAATAGATCCACCAATAGGTTGATTTTTGTAAGTTTCACACTGGTAATGATATTCCACTCAACTCATGCTGCTCACACACTTGACTATATATACAAATGACCTTCATACAAATGGATAATGACTCCAAAGATCAAAGTATGTTCTAAGAATGTGCATTTCTGATGAGCACCAGGTAGGTCAAATTGGTCCATGAGCACCAGGTAGACCATACTGATCCATGACCATGAGATGGGCTGAAAGACTATTAAAATATACTGAGCTCACATGCTTGCATATTTTTAGTTGAGAATATGTATATAAAAATGAAGAAATTATGAAAACAGGGAAAAACACATAACATATTTAGAAGTCACAATCACATTATTCATTTTCAATGCTCAAATAGGATGTATTGTAATGTAGTAATGTTGACTTAAAATAATAGAAAGCAATTACTCTGTTTCTCTATTTCAGAAGTATAGGTCAGTGTTTTCACATGCAGAAGATCTTCATATATCACAGTAGGAACCCACAATCCATTTCATTCAAGTAAATAGTTCCCAAACCAAAATTAATTTGACTTGATACATGTCCCTGTATCTAACTAAACCAAAGTCAAGGACTGCTGCTTCCAGATAGTACAGTGTCAAAGTAGGAAAAAGGTTGTCTTGTCCATTTATTTTGTCACATACACAACATTTTAAAGGGAATCAGAAATATTTAACATGTGTAAACATTTGTTTTTGGTTTTAAGGAGAAAATAA